TATTCCATCTCTAAACAACAATTTTAAGCTTTAGAATTATACAAAATTAAATGAGTAGAAAAAAGCTGGAGGAATATATTTTCCTGCCATATAATCAAAACTCGCATTAATGCTTCTGAGGGGAGTTTCAGTTTCTTATATATAGAGTATATATATATCAAAATTGTATATCGTGTGAGACTTGCAATGCCAACCTGACCCTTGTTGTTGTTCAAGATATTTGTAGAGAGGCAAACACAAAACGAATCGATTTAAAACACTGTGATTCTAAACTTCATGGAAGCACGCTGTTCTTAGAGTTCTCATTACAAAAATTGTTAGCCATACGTTTTTATGCATTTTTAAAAAACTGAAGACTCTATTTGGTATCCAAAGCTAAATGCATGACTAGCATTGTTCTTCAGCCCAGCGAGCTCTGTTTTGGACTCGCTGACTCTTTTGGTTGCCTAGAGTAAATGTTTATTCATTGAAAACGCAACACGAATACCTCTATCAAGGCAAAAATTTAAACAATCCGAATGTGGTGCAAGAAATAATGAGCAAAATTTGTTTTTATATACCCCTATCATATAACAAAAATAGTTGCGAGTAAAAATTATTTTTTAAGTTACAGCTCAGGGTATCAATAGTTTTCAGACGGGAAATAAAAAATTTTCAAAAACTCTAAGGTGAAAATTTGAAATTTTCCCCGAAAAAATATACACTCGATCAGAAACATCCAGTTACTTTTAATGTCAAATACAGTAATTTGGTTTTTTGTGTTTAACTGTTCCAAGTTTGCGATGAGGTTAAAAAAGCCACTGAGCGCAAATGAACAGAAAAAAAATGACTCATTTAACGAAAAATTTCAAAAAAATTGATGCCTTAAAAGCTATTTCAATTTCCAGTAGATTTCATGATTGGCACTTTTTTTAAAAGTTTTCCCATTTTGAGAAAATTAGATCAATAGTTAAATTTTTCATTACACTGGGAAGTCTGAAAACTATTTTCCAATTTCGTGATCATAATTTTCGTGACCTTTACCTTTTTGCTGTTCAATAGTTGAGTTTCCCTTCCTTTAACAATGGAAAAGAACTAAATTTAAAAAGAATGCAAAAGTCAAATCGCAAAGAAACGAAAAAATAAATTTAGGCTTGAGTTATTTTTCAAATTTTTCCGAAAAAAAAATCATGAAGACGCACATAGGAGTCTGAACTACGTTCATCAATTCTCCAAAAACAAATCATATCACCAGAAAACATCGTGTCAGAAAATTATATCAAAAATTACTTCTGACACCTGGAAATCAATTGAAAAAAAATCAATTGTCCATTTCTTTCTGACTGCCTAATTGGCTGGGAAAGACGAAGTCTTCATGGATAAACTAGTTTGAGAAACGGTGCACTAACGCAATAGCTCCAATTACAAGAAAAGTATGCATAATTCGAGAGCATGGAAATTCGGTAGTGAAAACTGGATTTGCTAAATTTTTAATTTCGCTGGGAAATCTGCAAATTAAAACATAGGCGCTACGCGCAATACACCGAAGGCATAGAAACTGAAGCAAAAACCAAACAACTTGAACAACTAATAATTGAAGAATAACAGTTCTAGAACAAAAAATCGTACTAATACATGTATACACCAAAATTTTGCTATATCGAGAAAGAGCCTGAAATAACAGTTCTAGAACTAAAAATCGTACTAACACATGTATAGGTCAAATTTTTGATATATCAACGAAGATCATAAAATAACACTTCTAGAACTAAAAATCGTACTAACACATGTATACACCAAAATTTTGCTATATTGGCAAAGATCATGAAATAACAGTTCGAGAGCTAAAAATCGTACTAACACATGTATACGTCAAATTTTTGCTATATTGACAAAGATCATGGAATAACAGTTCTAGAGCTAAAAATCGTACTAACACATGTATACACCAAAATTTTGCTATATTGATAAAGATCATGGAATAACAGTTCGAGAACTAAAAATGGTACTAACACATGTATACAATAAAATTTTGATATATTGACAAAGATCATGAAATAACAGTTCGAGAACTAAAAATCGTAATAACACATGTATACACTAAAATTTTGATATATTGACAAAGATCATAAAATAACAGTTCGAGAACTAAAAATGGTACTAACACATGTATACGCTAAAATATTGCTATATTGACGAAGAGCCTGAAATAACAATTCTAGAGCTAAAATCGTACTAACACATGTATACACCAATATTTTGCTATATCGACAAAGAGCCTGAATAAACGTTGTAGAACTAAAAATCTTACTAACACATATATACACCAAAATTTTGCTATATTGACAAAGAGCCTGAAATATTGACAAAGGACCTGAAATAACAATCGTAGAACTAAATGTCGTACTTACGCATTGTAGATCAATTTCTATAGCTATAATAAAATACAAAAGATTGTGTTTGTATGTGTAGCAAAACGCCTCCTGTCGTTTCAATCGGCCAATCGTATAAATTGGCATGTAGACTCATATGGGTCTCCGGAATAACTAAAAATCGTACTTACACATATACTTACAAGAAAGAGCTAAAATGAAAAAAAGCTATTAGTCTTATTATATTGAGAAATTGTGAAGCAGTCTCAGAATTGACAGTATGTAGCAGTAAAACAATCCGAAAAACAAATCCAAAAAACAAAAAAAATACTTGCAAAGACATGACACAGATCTGAAAAATGTACCAATGTTGGTATTCATGAACAAAACTTCAATCAGGTAAAGATATCAGTTAAGTATTCCACGAAATCAAGTTCAAATTCAACCTTCAAAAACCGGCAAGTAATAAAAATGACATAAAACTTCAACGTTCAGCGTCAAACTGATTACGGAACGTCAAATTTAAACGGACGCCATTCCATTTCTCAAACGATCCATCGGGTGCAGTGGATCCTCTCAAGATGCTGTGCTTCCAGTCTTTCTGGCAAGCTCCGAGCATGGTAAAAACGCTACCATGTGGCAACAAAACAGAACAATAAATTGAAAATCATTTTTTGCTTTTAACTACATAGCTAAGAAGTAAAACATCAAATTTCACAATCAAACAACAAAGACGCTAACTAAATAATTAAATAAATGAACGAACAAACCAACAAATGAACGAACAAACCAACAAATAAATAAAAACAAACACACAAATAAATTCATCTTGGATAAAAAAGACAGAGCGATGAAACTTTTATTTGATCATCGTTGTATCTTTTATCCAAGATTCTATCCAAACAAATTTTCACAAATAAATACATAATTAAACAAATGGATAATTACAAAAATAAATAAACATAAATAAATAAATGAATAAATAAATACATACATGAATAATAAATAAAAGCAAAACTAAATGAAAGAAAATAATTAAATAAATATAGCAATAAATATCGACGAATAAACAAAACACACCTGATAAATAAATAAACAATAAAAAAATAAATCAATACATAAATAAATAAATACATACATAAATAAATAAATAAATAAATAAATAAATAAATAAATAAATAAATAAACGCAAAACTGAAATGTACAAATAATTAAATTAACATGAAAAAATATATATCTCATGAACAAATAACCAAACAAACAGACCCATAATATAAATAAATGAAAGTAAATGAATTAAATAAATACACATACATAAATAATAAAAGCAAAACTAAATGAAAGAAAGAATAATTAAATAAATATAGAAATAAATATCAACAAATAAACAAAACACACCTGATAAATAAATAAGCAATATAAAAATAAATCAATACATAAATAAATAAATAAATACATAAATGAATACATAAATAAATAAATATATAAATAAATAAAAGCAAAAGTGAAATGTACAAATAATTAAATAGACATGAAAAAATATATATGAACAAATAACCAAAAAAAACAGACCCATAATATGAATAAATGAAAATAAATAAATGAAATAAATACACATACATAAATAATAAAAGCAAAACTAAATGAAAGAAAGAATAATTAAATAAATATAGAAATAAATATCAACAAATAAACAAAACACACCTGATAAATAAATAAGCAATACAAAAATAAATCAATACATAAATAAATAAATAAATACATAAATAAATACATAAATAAATAAATAAATAAAAGCAAAAGTGAAATGTACAAATAATTAAATAGACATGAAAAAATATATATGAACAAATAACCAAACAAACAGACCCATAATATAAATAAATGAAAATAAATAAATTAAATAAATACACACGCAGAAATAATAAAAGCAAAACTAAATGAAAGAAAGAATAATTAAATAAATAAACAAAACACGTGATAAAAATAAACAAAAATAAATATGTACATACATAAATTATAAATAAATATAAGCAAACTAAACATAATTAAATAAATAGAAGAACAGATAATTAAATAAATAAAGATGAACAAATAAAGAAACAAACATACGCAATCACGTGACATAGCGCGATATAGTCCAGCCCACATGATAATTGATAACTGTGGACGTTATTTGTCGACACTTGACAACAGACAACATTAAAAAAAAAACCCGTTACACGATACCATAACACCTTGACTAAAGTCTTCGGTGTAAAAACACTTTCGAAACTAGAAATCTACTACGTTTTTCGTGACTTTTACATTTTGCTGTTCGATTGACGAGTTGGCCTTCCTTTTAACAAAGGAAAATAACTGAGCTTGAAAATAAATTGTAAGTCAAACCGTGAAAAGTAAAAATTGAGATTGAAGACTTAGTTTTTTTTAGAAGAAGTCTTCAAAAGAAACCATCACGATCTATATAAGAATTTGAACTACATACACCGACTCTTAACCAAAACAAAAAATTCACCAAGAAGTATAAAAGAGTATTTACTATGATCATGACTCTTAAATTAAACATTGCATCCATCTTTTCTCAAACAAAAACTTGGAGATGAACCATATTGATTTCGTAAATTTAATTTTAACACAAGCATTGCTTGCATAAATACACAACGAATAAAACAAACAGACGTATAAAATCTAAAAATTCAGGGTACATTTATACCGATAAGAACATTGAAACTGACAAATTTTATGAAAGCATAATGTTCAGGCCCGTATAGAATCAAATGTTGAAAGTGTGCTTAAGGATTACGAGTATAGCATGTACGCCTCCCAGTGTGCGTCCACAAACTGGCGAAGTGAACCAGTTCACAATTTCTACAACACCATTTAATGTGATGTACCCCATTTTTCAACTTTTGATTTTCCATTTTTACAACTCATTTTTAAAACTCACCCAAATCTATAAAAAACTAAGCGTTGAGAGGAAGAGCATGAATACCATTCAAATATTACAAATACAACTATATCTAGTTCACAATTTTGGCGCTTCTAGTAGTAAGCGAATAAGAGTATAGATAAAATTCATGGTAGGCTTTGAATGAAGGTCAAATATTTTGTTGGCATTTTGATAAAATTTGCTCTTGAAATCTTAGAACGAATTTCTAATTTCTAGTTTTCTAAATTTGCGGGTTGAACATTATCCATCTAAATCAATAACACAATAACTGCAGTTATAAATAAGTTTATTGAATTTTTGTTTCATGTCAACTTGACTCAAGTTTTTTTTTTAAATGTCGAATCTGTATTTGACTTTATCTCTTGGCTTTGACCATTTTCATTTATAGATAAAAGAGTTTATCTTCTAGCTGCTGGTGGGCCGATTTGCCTATATTCATGCCTACCAGTTGAGCCAGTTTGTGCGCGTACTGGCATGGAGCTGGAACTCGGACACTTCCGGGCCAGTTATAGTACAGGAAGGTCAGCTTGAAGGCCAGACTGAAACAGGCGATCTAATCGTTAGTATTATTATTAAACAGAGACGGAGCTGAGCTTCGCAACACTTGCGATTCAAAAAACACATTGCGCTACAACATAGTGAATGAAAAAAAGGCAGAAGTCAAAAATATTTCTTAAAAATTATGTTAGAAAAAATTACTTGGAAAAATTGACGAAGTTGAAAAATAGACAAAAGTTGAAAAATTACAGCTACAAAAAGTTAATATTTGTATCGGATGCAGTTCATAAACAAGCCAAAATAAATGAAAAAAAAATTACCGAGCGGCAAGAAAGGAGGCAAACTTTGGGTCGAAACCTGTTGAGCCGAAAACAAAACTGTTGTCATAAAAAAGTTCATAAAAATTAAAAGTTTTTTTGACCCATCCGAACTGAAAAAAATAATGCCAAGCGGAAATATTTTGCTCTCGGAATTACGCAAAATAAAATGAATAAGTGCACACAAGATAAACATAAACTGTTTGAATGCTAGAGGCCAGCTAAAGCTGGAAAAACCTGTTAGATAATTTTTGAATTTTTTGTACTGATGCGGAGAGACAAGGGTAATTTGACTTTTCCGATATAAAATTAGGCGCAACCACTTATACAGCGGAGCTTCCCAAAACCAGTTCTACTCATGGGAACCAAAACCTCAGATTTGGGAGGGTAGCTGTCGAAAAAAAAACTACAAAAAAAGGTCAAAAATCGAATTTTTGACTTTTCCGAGGGTCATAACTTTTTCTGCGAAATAATTTGGGCGTGATCGCTTCTGCAAGGGTGCTCCCCACAACACGTTCTTTCGAATGAAACTAACTAAAATTTCAGAAATGGGAGGACAGTTTTCGCGAAAATTTTCAAAAAAAATGGTCAAAAAAGGAAACAACTTTTTGTGTAAAAAAAATTAGGCGTAATCATTTATGCAGCGGAGTTTACTACAACCCGTTCTAATCTTTGAAGCAAAACCTCCGATTTGGGAGGGTAGTTTTCGAGAAAAGTCAAAAAGTTTCAAAAAAAAACTTTTCTGAGGGTCATAACTTTTTGAGTGAAAATATTTGGGTGTAACCGCTTAAGCAGGGGAACTCCCCACAAGCAAACAAAAATCTAATATTTGGTATGCTAGTTTTTGAAAGTTCAAAAAATCGAAAAATTGACATTTTTAAGAGCCATACAAACTTGTGTAAAAAATTTGGTCGTAGAAGCTAATGCAGGAAAGCTTCCCACAACCAGTTCTATCCATTGAAACCAATATCTCTGATTTGAGAGGATAGTTTTTGAGGAAATGTAAAAAAATATATAGGTCAAAAATCCCCTCATACACTTTTTTGAAAGCTGTAGAAAGCGGGGTAAGGTAAAAAGAGACTAGGTGAGTACACAGACACATGAGCGAGTGAGCGGATTCTTTTTGGAAATTGGCAGAGTAGTTTTTGAGAAAAACTAATATTTTGAAAAAAAGAAAAAATTTTCCAAAGCGTCTGAAAAAAAAGAAAAAATAAATAAAAATATAAGAAAACTCAAAACCAGACATGGCAAATTACAAATTTGTGAAATTCGAGTTTTAGTGAAAACTGTTTAAATTGGAAAAAACCCATGCTTCAAAAGTAAAACAATAAAAAAACCCTACCAGATAAAAAAAAATGGCGTTTAAAAAACCGGAAAAGTAACCGACAGAAACTAGGACGAAAACCACGAACACGAAAAAGTTGAGAAATTTTTTGAAAAAATAATTACTACCTGAATCGGGTTTGAACTAATTTCTGGAAGAAGATATTACTTAGGTATCTTTCTCAGGAAGCGAAGATCCTCTAGAAGTGCAGATGTTGTGGACAAAGTTGTTAAGGGGAAAAAACGTCTAGTACCCGATTGCAATACCCTTGCTGATCGCAAGGGTAATTATTATTATTATAATTATGATTATTATTATTACTATAAAAGCATGTGCGAGATAACTTCCAGCAAGTGTACAAAAACAGAATGTCTGTAACCTCTGTATCGTATCAATATCCAACGACACTTGCTCCTTGGCGCCTCCTGGCGTGTTCTCCAGCACCACATATCTAGTAGGCGTAACGGTTCCCTGCCTCACATGTTGAGATACTAGATAGAAATCTCGGGTGCCCCGTTTTGTGATTGTATGGTCAATCACAGTGCCTGGAGGAGCATTGCCAATATTTCCGCTTCTGTCTACTGCAAAAATCCTCGCAGATATTCTCTTCTGGACAACTACGACGCAAAAATGAGGACTGTACTCGGGTGAAATATCAGAGAAGGCTCGTTTCATCAATGCAATTTCTGTGTCCTTTACGATGTCCATTTGGTGGTCCCCCACACCATCCCGAAACACGACTATGGAGTCGGGCAAAAATTTACTCTCCTGAACAAAAGTTTCCTTTAAATTTCGGCAAATCAATCAATATTAATTTTTTAATTTAAGACGCTTTATCCACAAAGGAAAGAACCAACACACGAGCTGTTCAGCTCATCACGAAGAACCGCTGTTGTGCCCCTGTTTAAGAACTAAAAAAATTTTTTGGCTATTTTTCTGGGCTGGGTAATGTTGCCTCACCCTCAATCAACAAGCACGGATCATAGTGGCCTCCTCGAACAACCGATTCGACCTTTCGATTCAGAGGGGCAGACGCAACCACCGCTCCTCTCCTCTATTACGGTTCGAAAAGGCCAGATGCGTGAGTTGTTTGCCATGATTGTTCAACCATGATCACGGTTTGCCATGATAATTACTAAAATAGTCAAACACATGGCCACGAGATAAAAAGGATATTACCGTCCAGCGGAGAGAGTGACCGTGACGCACCATTTCTGCTCTTTAACTATTTGCAGACAAGACCATCAATGTACATATTACATCAGAATGATCCAAAAAGGGTCTAGAAAAATGACTTTTTAGATGAAGATAACCCAATTTGGAAAACATGGATCAAAGTATTATTTATTTATTCCGCAGAGAAATCTATAAATTAAATCCACTTTCTAAACTAAAGTCGATTGCCCTTTTTACTCCATTTGCACATACGGAATTGGAAAACGTTATTTCCCTTCCACTAAGAATACTAATTGGAATCCGACTTAACAAGAAATCAAAAGTCAAATCACTAAAAATCAACTTTGACATAAACAAAATTTGAAAGAAAAAAGACAAGACTATCTTGATTTTGTTCATTGAAACTTAATCAATTTTATCAAAAACCGACTGCTAGGAAGCTAGACTAAATTTAACGATTTTGTAGTTGATCAAAGAGAAAAGTCGTTGACATTTTTTTTTACAGAATTAGACTAAAATGCATTGAAAACATGGAGCATAGCCAACAGTCAAATGGAAAATTGTCAAGGAGTTCACAAAAACCGAACGACGTATTTGATTTTTTGAAGCATTTTACAACTAAAAATATCTCACCTTACAGCTATTTGATTATCGAGAATCTTCTATCTAGCACATTTTTGATAAAACACAACTTGAGAAAACTGGATCGATAAAAATTAATATAGATTTTTGAGAAAAATCTTCCTCGTTTCTTGGTCGATTTGCATTTTTCTTATTGGAAAGCGTAGTATTCCTTCGATTTATTAAATGAAATTGGAGTTAACTTAGTAAGAAATCATAAATCAACCAGACAAAATGGTTTAGTTAACGGAAATGATAGTTAAACCGATAGAACAACACATCAAACTATCGCATCAATTATGCACCTCTGTTGACCTAAAAGAACTATGAACGTAGCCACAACAATTCGAACAATATAAATATAATCAAGAAATCCGGAAAAAAAAACAATTTGAAAGAAAACATATTATGATGACAATTTTGATAAAACTTGATGAAAACTGGATCAATAGGTATTTTTCTACACCACTGAAAACTTCTTAAGCTTTGTAACTTGAAGTAATTAACCTTTTTTGCCGCCTTTTGACTTTTTTACTCAAGACCGCAAAATTGTCTTCCATTAAGCAAATTAATCTGAATTGAACTGAAAGTGAAATCAAAATTCAAACTACAAAAAAAAACAAATTAGAGCGTGAACACCACCTATATAAGTCATAATTGAAGAACCGTTCCTTCATTCCTTTATAATTAAGACGATTTATCCATAAAGGAAAGGAGCAACATGCAACATACAGCTGTTCAGAAGTAATTGTCATCATTAATCAGAGATCATGTGTATCAACATCATACTATTAAACGAGTAAAGAATTGAGATTTACTATATTGGTTGAGAGATTACAAATTGCAAGAACCAAACAAAACAGATTAATTGAATGTTATCCAAACAGAATATATTTTTTTCAGTCTCGAGTTTTATCATTGGTTCAGATAAGATCATGCTTAGCATCATTTCAGATTAAAATGTCACCTCAGGCCTTTTCCTGATTTCCACACACTTCTGGAATCAAGACATTATCTGAGGAATACTGGAGGAAACTTCCAGCTTTTTACCTTTTTACTCTATAGGTCTCTCAGCGCTTTTGAAATACTAAGTATTCCAATCAGATTCTGTGACCATGGCTTACAATAATTAGGATTATTCGTTTTTATTCGAAATAAATGCATATTGTAGGCGCTATGAAATGATAGATGTTTTCTTTTTTCTGAAATGGGACTGATCGGTAGAATCACCTTCGAACAGAATTGATATACGTCAGATTTGAAATTAAAATAATGAATTTTAAATTATATTGTTTTTTTCCAGTCATAATAATGGATTTGTTAAAATACATAATATGCAGAATAACATACCTTATCTTTTTATATATCAAGCGACTTACTTCTTTGAACTTTTGGATAGCAGATATTGTGGCCTGTCTCAAATTATTGGTCATTATTTCCTCTCTCTGGCCCTGGTCAAATGTCTGGGAGAAGTATTTCGAGGCTCCTGGGTTCCTTGTGGCTACAAATCCAACCACGCTGTTTGTCTTTCCTGCCTTCTGGTGGTATACGTCAATGCCGATGAACATCGCTCGGTGCTGAAAAGAAAACTGTTTTTCAGCTTCTCAAATCAAACATCTACAATCGATTTCAGTAATTTTCCCGAAATTGCACATTTGAGAATGATTACCACAGCTTTCAATTGCTCAACACAATTCCACTAAGGGACAAACTAAAGCTAAAAAAACTTCTCTTTTCTAAGCTATTTCTTCTCTTTTCTAAGCTATTTCTTCGTTTTTTTTTGGTTGTTTAGACAATGCATCATGCTATTCCCACGGCATTGCAAAATGGAGAATTTCATGATTAGGTATAATTTTGTCAACTATTTGGGCTCCTGAATCAGTCCCAACGGTATACCATGAAAGGTGGGTTATCTCTGAGTTTTATCCATTGAACCCGATAAATAACAAAACAAAATTTACGGTAGCGCGACAATTCGTAACAAGCGACAATTGGTAACAAGCGACAATTCGTAACAAGGCATTGGCAAGTAGCATACGCTTGTTCCACTTGGCTTACATTCTGCACGAGGAATAGTGCTCATAAATTAGTTTTTGCACTTTAACTTCTTGTTGCGAACTGTCGCCTCATTAAAATTGTCGCCAGTTACGAAATTTCGCTTCATGTTTCTTTACAAGCGAATAATTTTTAAAAATGATTCTGACCTTGTAGCCTTACGGTGACCAATCGAATCGGCGTCACCAAAATTGTACATGTATGGTAAATATTTTCTGTAATGTGCTTGATTCGTAAGTTAATTTATTATTATTACACAGCGTCGAGGGTGAGCTTCGCAACACTTGCGATACAACAAATACAGGGTTAAAACAGCATAACGCTCAAGAACTAATAAAAAGGACTCCCAACGATATTACATTTGAAAAAAAAATGATCTAGAAAAACGAAGTATTTCTAAGAGGTCACAATGGTTTTAAAATTAGGAATTCGAGTATTTGGCGCCAAGATCTTATCTATTTCATAAACATTATCGGAAAATTGTAGAAACAAGATAAATAAGCCGACGAAAATAAAGCCAGCAGCCAATAAGTTGAAATTCAACCGAAAGACTTCAGCAAAACAAAATTTTCTTTCGCTGAAATATTTCGATTGAATTCCAGCTTATAAGCTGCCGGCTTTATTTTCGTTATAGTTTCCACGAGTGTCATGTATGTACTGAAGTCAAAGTGCTATACACAATTTCGGAAACTAAACAGAGAGCTTAGTCAACAATAAAGCCGAAAAACTATCAGCCAAAAAATAAAAATAAGAATGTCAAAATTCTTTATCTATACATGCAATCACATCAATCAAAATGTATAGAGATAGATTTCAAAAAAAAAAACGCGCACGGACAAAACAATGCAAAATTAGTATCGGAAGCAAACTTATCAAGCAGTAACAATGCCGAAAATATCTGAGCAGAAACCCTTCAAACTGAAAAAAAAGTTCCTCCCTCAAAACACACACACACGCACACAAAAAACTTTTTGCTCATCAAACGGTGCAATAAGAGGTCACTAACGCTGGGATTTTGCGGTTCGATAACAATGGAAGGCACTAAACTTCCTTTTAACAATGGAAATGCACTGAACTTATCACAAGTCAAATCGCAAAAAATCAAAATTATGCGTGAACAAATTTTACGACTTTTTCCTGAAAAACCAAAAAAAAAAACCAAGACTAATATACGAGTAATCACTATGTTCATTACTCTAACTCAAATCCGAAAAAATTTGAAAGTAATGAAAAAAATGGAAGTTCACCTCTCCCTCAATACACACACACGCACACAAAAAACTTTTTTCTCTTCATACGGCGCATTATGAGGCCATTCAAGAAATAAAAACCTGCCGAATAAGATTAAGCGAAAAACAGGACACAGAAACGAAGTTCAAAAAAGTTAGACAAAAATTTTTGAAACTAATAAACAATTAAGTTCCTCTCTACCTCACAACCCACACAGGCGCACAGCAAACTTTTTGCTTATCAAAAGGCTCAAAATGAGGCAACAGAAGCGATATACAATAGGCCCAAAACCTATCAAGCCGAAAAAAGGACAAAACCAAAAATCCGAAAAAAAAGTTTGAAAAATATAAAAAAATTTAAGTTTACCACTCCCTCAAAACACACACACAAAAAAAACATTTTGCTTATTAAACGGCTCAAAATGAGGCCTCTAAGTCCATATAACATAGATCAAAATTTATTGATCTGAAAAAAAAAGAGTTAAATAAAAAATTTTATTTTTACAAATCGAGTTGGAAAAAAATACAACCAACATATTTCGAAAAGCTGGGATATTTAAAATACTTAGAAACTCAAAACATGCTTATTATTTGCAGCAGAGAGGAAGAGGATTTTGATTTGCAACGAGGACAGAGAGGACAGAGAAGTGAATCCAGTGCCTAACGTTATTTAAGGGAAAAATAGTCTAGTAACCGATTGCAATACCCTTGCTTATCGAAAGGGTTATTATTATTAATTGGCTCTTTACCAGTCCCCCTTCTTTGATTTTCTCTTATACTCGATTTACGAAAGCCTATTTTCTCTTATACTCTTATATTTTCTCTTATACTCGATTTACGAAAGCCTATTTAAAATGACTTTTGATCTTCTCAACTGCATTATAACGTGTCACCGTGAAGTGAACAGCTCTCACATTTCTTTCATGCAAAGTGTCGTATGAATATTAGCAAACAACTTCAAATTGTAATTTTATGACGAGGTTGGATTACGAGGAAAAAGTGGAAGGCGTTTTTTATTGATTATTTGACTAATTTTCCTTACTAGTTTTGGCGGGATATTCACTTCCCACAGCTGGCCCCCCAATTTAGCCACCATCTGCAGTCCAATATTGAGCGCTATCCTCTTCAGCTTCTGTGGTTTGCCCAGTGTCCTCGACAACACACACTGGGACGCCACCGGCTTCTCACTGCAGGTCAGCTTCTTCACAGCATTGTATGTGTCATCTCTCTGGGTACTGAACACAGTCATGACTAGCTGTGTCTGAAACAAGTTCCGCATTTATTTCTCAACAATTTACACCCGAGAGAAGAGGGAAATAAGAACCAAACAACGAGCATTTCAGCTCTTCGCGGATAACAGCTGTTGAAGCATTGTTTTGCAGTTTTTTGGTTTTTTCTGAGCTGGCTAATTTTTCCTCGATCTCAAGCATCGACCATTTAATTGATAGAAATCGTGCTACCGAAAAACAAAAGCAATCACATTGTGGGTCCATTTAAAAGTCACATATTTGTTTCAGCTTTAAAGACAGCATTTCTATTATTCGAGCCCAGTATCTTAGTTCAAGATAATCTGAGATATTCGAGATTGATAAAAGGCTATTCGAAAAAATGTATTCTTCTCATTGATACTGGAACCTGATCTAAACTACATTTTATGATTGGATAAATTAGATATTTTACCACTGTAAAATATTTAATATTAACCAATCATGATCCATCTAACTAACAACCCACTTATTTGTAAGTGCTGAGATTACTTGTAATCTCAGCACCAGAGAGATTTGAATTTAACTTAGAAATTAGTTGCCTCTCCAAGAGAACTTCAGCAGCCGCAATAAACCAGTATACCCTAGATCTATTGAGCCTAGCAGAGACTAGTTAAACAACCTGAGACTAGATAGTATAAGAGTAAGATTAGGATCGGTATTAGACTAAGAAGTTGCACGAATCTATCCGGCCGAAAATAAGATAGCGTGACGAGCAGACGGTGTACCCTATCCGAAATTACTCTATGAGTTAAGACCATCGAACTTAACTCAATACTTTTGAACTCCAATTAATTTCGTTTCATATTTTCCATAAAACAAGCTCCAAAGTAGTTTCGGCTATGCGTATAAAAAATTTAATTTTTATCCTCTACCGCTTAACCGCTAGAAATTCATATCACTTTTAGTTTACACTTTAGTTTACCATGACTAAGTGTACTTACTTATATTTGGTTTTTTCATTAATACCAGATCCTAATTCCATAATTAGACTAAGTGAACCGAAATGTTCTAGGCGAAAAATCGATGACAAAGTTACGGCAGCACTGTGAGTAGAAAATGTCTGATCTGATGTGCTTACTTCACGTTTCATCCTGGCTCTAAGTTGGGCTACATAGTCCTCTGCCCTGTCCCTATCTAGCTCAAGAGTGTCCGGGTTTGCCACTTCAACTCCCACATTGCGCATACACTGCGACAACTGTCCGAACAGCTCCTTGGCCCTAAAAGAGCAAAACAATGTTTCAACCCACAATATTTCACAGAAAGGTAGAAAAATGTGGTAGGGAGGGGAGTTGTTCTGCGACTAGGTTAAAATCAATAACTCAAAAAAAAAATCGTACTACACAAAGAGCTTTATTTGGGGTGCCACAATGGTCAAAATTTTCACACAGGCGAAGCTGAACTTCACAAACACAGGCGACAAAATGCCTAAAATTGACTCTGATAAGAGAAAGGAAAAAGCAAACACTAGCCATGAAACAAAACAAAGCCATCAAAAAATTGGAAAAGAATCAATTAACTCAAGCAAATAGAAAACATAGCCAACAGGCAGTTGGAAGTAAAGCAAAAACAGAAATGACCAAATTTTGAAAAATAACTTCGAATGTTGAAGAAAAAAATAGATGCCCTAAAAGCTCTTCGACTTTCTATAAAAATTTATGATTCACACTTTTTATTTCATTAAATTAGCCCAAGTTGAGAAAGCTGGATCAATGGGTAAACTTTTAATTCCGCTGAAAAATCTGAAATTTAATTCCACTTTCGAAACTAGAAGTCGATCACGTTTTTGGTGACCTTTACACCTTTCCTGTTCGCTAGTGAAGTATGCCTTCCTTCTAAGAAAAGAAATTGAAAAGAAATCAACTAGAAAATCAACTGTCAAACTGAAAAGAAATCGGAAGTCAAAACGCGTTAAAGTAAAATTTCTAAAATTTCTAGACTTTTCCTAAAAAATGAACATAGGTAACTAACAGTTGGAAAAGAGTAATGAAAGCAAGTAAAACTAAAAAAAAAACACTGACCTTGTTGAAAAAAATCTCATCTTCGAATTTCAAAGAAAAAAGTAGATGCCCTTTAAGCTCTTTGAATGTCTAGAACAACCTATGATTGGCGCTTTTTTGATAACGAAACCCAACCTGAGAAAACTGGATCAAAAGGTGAAATTTATATTCCGCTGGAAATTTAAAAATTAAATTCCACTTCCGTTCCATAAAAAATCATATGCACCTAAGAGCATTCAAAAATGCATTAATATGTATGAATGCACATCTGTAGTTATTAGAGCACTTAAGGCATTTTAAGACTTTTTCCTGAAAAAAAAATCACCAAGAACCTGAACTCCATTCATAGAATTTTAAAAAAACTGACTTATTTTTCGAAAAAAAATCAAAAATCACCAAGAACCTGAACTCCATTCATCGACTCTTAAAAAAACTGACTCATTTTTCGAATTAAAAGAAAAGAATGGATGGCGGCCTTACAGCTCTTTGAATTTCTAAAACAATTTATGATCTTTTTTTTTTAATTTCTGAATTATCACTGAATTTCTTATTTCGCTGGGAAATCTGATAATTAAAAACAATTTTCGAAATTAGAAGTCGATCAAGTAACATTCACACTTTTGCTGTTCAATAGTGTAGTTTGCCTTCCTTTTACACAGAGGCAAAACTGCGCTCCGCAAGCAAAAGCGAACAAACACCAAGAAGTAGCTTTAAAAGGCTCAAAAAACCTAATGAGTTCGGAAAATATGACCTCTACGGAAATTAATCCTCAGTCCTCGGCCATTCATGTTTTCCAGTTGGCTGCATTACACAACCGTTCCCTTGGCGCTTATCAAAACCAAATACAAGCGGTAAAAGGATGCTTCAAACTTAGCATGATATAATTTGGAATATAATAAGCTAGTCAACCACACTAATTTGCATAGAAGTTGTGAAGCCATATTGGGTATAACTTATTCATTTCAAAACTCTCGAAATATATTGATTTGGAAATCGAAAATTGAAAAGGTATCAACTGTGTTAACTTATTACTAATCACATGTCAAAGCACATGGTATGTACTGCCAAGCTGCCTTAAAAAGACCCAAAGTAGCACTTTCATATTGGCAAAAAAGCAATCAAAAAGTCATTTTGATTTGCTACGTATGTTGTTAAAAAAAAGTTGCATTGTAATATAGCACAACGCTCCGCTTATGTAAACAAAGGAAATTAACTGAACTTAAAAACGAAACCAATAGTCAAACTGCAGAAAATCATCACGACCTACATTTAAGAGTCTGAACTACATTCATGGAATCTTTATTCAAAACCGGATCTCCAACCAGGCGATTAAGTCTCACGTCCTCGCATCTGCGCTATCAAAACATAAGCCGTCAAAAATGCGGATAAACAAATGCTATGAAATTGCCAATGATAATACTATTGCTATATTAGCAAAAGTGTCACCAACCAAAATGAGCCTTGGTTCAAGTTGGATTGGAAAAATTTGGACTTGAAAGTGAACAAGATCGTCGTTGGTTTGAAGCCTATCATTTTGAGAATATTCTGTTTGAATATTCGGCTAGATTCTCAGAGCATTTGTTTTTTTTTGGAGTTAGAGCGATGACAGAGGCGAAGTTGCACTTCGCATACAAAAGCAAAAATATGACCGATAACGCTACATAATTTCTAAGTGACGCAAGCCAATTATGACACATCAGCAGTACCAGTCAATTTGAAAAAATGAAATTTACGAACTAACATGCCTCAATTTATGAAGCGGGCGCCTTTTAACTAGTATACGAAAAAGTCCATTTAAAATATCCGATCCTGACCAGGTTCGAATCCTCTTTTTTGTTGCGGGTCTCCTTCCCTAGCTCTACGCTACATATCTATGATACTTTGAAAATACTTTTATTTGTAATATAATAGTATGTGTTAATATCCTTAGCATTGGCATATCCTTAGCTAGGTTGGAAAAAAAGAGAGTTCATACTTTCACACAAGCTTTGCTTATATAATCAATTCCACTTCGCTGTTTAGGAGCAACAATTATAAGAAGTTTTTAATCTGGGCCACATGAGCAATTCAATTTTTCCCTAAACAGTTTTACAGCTCGCATGTTGATTCGCATCCTCATTTTGACCTGTGGACCAAAAACACTTGTTTTAAAGATGAGCGAATTGAAGTAAATCGTCATCTTGAATGTGCTGAACATGAGGCCAAGTGGAATTCTTGAAGCTAACTAAACTCAGGCTTACAGACAAAAAAATGACATTGCAAATTTTACCAAAAAAGCGTGAATTTGGAATCGACAACCATATGATTGACAGTGCCTATGACTTCCCCTTGAGTTTATAACCTGTTGTACTCCTTCTTGGGATAGCACACTATCCATGTGTGCAAAACGCCTCCTCCCATGCACTGGTTTCTATCAAGATCCCTGCCAAAGTCGACCTCAGCGTTGATTGGTCTTCTTTGGTTGGCGAAGTGGACAAAGTTACCTTCAACTATATTTCGAGCTTCCATCTGTAAAACGCAAACTTCATTTATTTCAAAGTTTCATTTATTTCAACGGTGATTTCAATTCGTGCTAAAACTTAGTCATGCAAAATCGTCTCTAAAATTGTTTGTAGTAAACTCTTTTTACAACTTGTGTTACTTTGAACAGGAAAATATAACTATTTATGCTCGTCGGCTAATAATGAACGATTGAGCTCCTTTTCCTGTTCCTTTCCTCAACCCACAAAGTCTGAAAATTAGCAAGCTTAATTTGTTCAATTAACAATTTGCAGTCGGGGAAAAGGACGAACCAGCGCCTGCAAACAGGCCAGGTTATCAAATGTATATTCAAAATATTCGAGTTGATCTTACAAATAAGAACAGCGACATAACAAATTAACCACTTGCGATAGAAACAAGAACGCCGCTAAATCAGAAAAAAATGCCGAAAAAAATTAGATCTATCAAAAACTATGGGGCTAGTATTCAAATTTAAAAAAAAATATTCCAAGGCGATGGCATGTGAAATAAGCATCGGAAGAAAATTTACCAAAAGGGTAACAAAACCGAAAAATACCTTGGCAGAAATCCTTCAAGCCGGATAAAAATCCACAAGACTTAACTTAATAAGTCTCCTTCACCCTCAAAACACAGACACGCACACACATTTTTTTTTCGTCGTCGAAAGAGTCAATATGGCCATTAAACCGATATAATGCAGGCCAAAACCTAACACGCCGAAAGAAAAGGAAAAGAAAAAAAGCGGAAAAAACATTGTTGTTATGAACTAGAATTTATATTAAGATTTTTAGCATTTTGTGCGATCCAGAGGTGAGCATAAAAAAATTATTTCACTGGAAACGAAACAAAATTAGGTCACTTAGCCGACAAAAAATAGGCCGAAATCATTTGAGCAGAAGATTGTTTAAGCGAAAATAAGAAAACATAAGAAATCAAGGTTAAAATTACAAACATTAGAGGTATATCAGAACAATAAAGCTATAATGTAGAAAAACTATTAAAAAACAATTCTTCAATATGACAACAAAGCCGACAAATAATAAGCCGACAATTTTTTGTGAAACCATTACCATTCCTTATTTTGACCATTCTGTGCCAAAGCTTTTTTTAAGAAAACACCGATTGCAATACCCTTGCTTTTCGCCGGGGTAAAAATGCTCGTATATCGTGGCAAAGCCCTGAGTGTTCCGGCTTCACATTATGACCAAATTCTGGTTGAAAAATTGACAAAATAATGAAAAGAATTTTTTTTTCATTGTTTCTTTGATTTATTTCTCCACGAGCTAACAAGAACTACAAATAGATGTATTTCGCGTCTTGCATCCTAATAGTAAAACTAAATGTCTTGCCCTAATTCAATTTGGAACGCATTAATCCGCCACTTACTCGTGTCATAAGAATGCAATAAATCGCGCGCTAATTATCCTAAATTGACCTATTTTCGATTGTTTAAAACTTCATAATAAATAATCACAGGTAAAATATCTTTTTAAATTTAAGCGCAGGAAAACAAAATTTTCCAGGTGGTATAAATGCTGTTAAAAAGTCGAAAACTTAGTGTATAAAAAACGATAAGCATAAATATTCTGCACTTTCTTCGAAAGTCGGAGCAATAAATGATAAATCAGTTTGCAAGTTAAAAGATCGGCAAAAGCAAATGGCCGTCAATGTGAAGCTTTTCAGCAGAGATTCACCGGTTCTAAACAGCCTTTAGGGTGAAACCAGGCAGTGGGTAAAAAAGGCAGTGCGTCTCACCGACAGTGGATCTCTGGCCAAATCCACTCCCCAATTGTGCATTTCCAGCCTCGCATTCGGATCATCATAGATGCTCTGGACGAATTTCCTCAGTGCATCCACTCTGTTCACTGGGTTGGGTTTCGTGTGTTCCGAGATCTCTTTCATAACCTTCAAGTTTATTTATTACTATGAAAAAGTTTGTGAAAATGAACATTATAACAGGAGACTCTAATATACACATTCTCTTCAACGTGTGAAAATTAAAGACTATATCGGTTGTTCACGTTGTTCATTTGAAAATAAATACCGTGTCGACTAACTAAGTTAAAAAGTATTGGACCACCACACACAAACTTACAAAACCACTGGTTACAGCGTTCAAAGAACTTTAATTAAGTTTAAGGGATGGCGTAAACATTACTACTTATGAACAAATAAATATGTTCTACACAGGCTAAGCTGTTAGACAGTAATAACAGATAAGCTACTTATTTTGTAATTTCAATTTTTTACCTGAAAGTTGTCGCGCGTTTTGTCGCTGAGACCGGTCAAGAAGCACAGTTCTGGTACGAGGTATATAGTTTGTGGTGGCATCTAAAACATTAAACACAACAAAGTCACAAGTGTATGACACTCGTCTTTTACATCGAATTAAGTAAAAATGAAATAATAAGGCTTTGAAAGGATGAAAAGTTGTTTTGATAGCTTGAAACGGTTCGCATTCGCACTAGGTAAATTGATTTTTACAGCTTGATTTGGTTCATAAAAAAATGCAAGCAAGTTAATCAATCTTTGAATTGTTCTGACCTGTTTTTGCTAATGTGTTTTGTTAAGGCGGTCATAAAAAATGAAAGTTTTGAAACAATATATTCAAAGGATGGGCCAAGAAGTACATTTGATTTGATTTGATTGGCTAAACCATAACAAAAAACAAGGTTTCCGAGCAGGTTAATCAACTGATGAAATAGTGAAATATTTGGAGTTCATTTTAGTTACTAGAATCGTACCACAAAAATACGTTTTCAAATAATTCAAAACAAAATATTGCAGTTTTTCAAGTCATTTGATAGCTTAAACGATTCGCAAAAAAAGTGTCCTTATTGGTTTTCATCAAATTTTTATACCTAGCTGTTCCATGAATGAAATAAAAAAGTCTTTGAGTATCAAGTTCGTTTTTCAACCAAAATGCACTTTTGAGACAATTCGAAAGCTTATTACTGGTTTTGAAGGATTGGTGATTCGCAAAAAAAAATTCCAACAGAGAATTATATCAAAGTTTTCAAAGCAATCAATTCATGCAGAGCAACTTTTAAACAATTCAAATTTGCTTGCTTGCGTTTGATTCAGTTCGCATCTACGCAATGTTTTTTTCAAAGCAGCCAAATCAAGAGGTGCACTGCAAGAGGGTTTTTTATGATTTACAAAAGTTATTTCAGCACGCTTATTACTATTTGAATCTTCAAAATATTCCAGGCTAGTTTGATCATTTCAATTGGTTCGGAACAAGATTGAAGTTAATTCAAATTATTAAAAACATAGCCAGCAGGCATTTGGAAAAGAGTCAATGAACGCAAGGAAACATAAAAAAACTGACTTGTAAATAAATAACATGGCCTCAAATCTCATTCAATTCCTGGACCAGATTATGATGGACACTTTTTAGATAAAATAAACCCAATTTGAGAAAAATGGATCAATAGTTAAAATTTTTGTTTCGCCGGGAAAACTGGAAAGTAAAATCCATTTTAGAAATTAGAATTCGATCGCGCTTTTCATTACCTTTACACTTTTATATTTCAGTAGTTGAGTTTGCCTTCCTTTTAACAAAAAAAAATGAACTGAACTTAAAAAGAAATCAAAAGTCAAACTGCGCAGAAAAAAATTGAACTTGAACAAATTTTATAGAATTTTCCTGAAAAACAAAAATCATCGCGACCTATATAAAAGCCTGAACTACTTTCATCGACTCTTAATAACTCTAAACGATTCGTGATAATCTCTCTCTGGCAAGGTATTCATTCTATCCCAAAACTTCTATGATAGTGCGAAAACTTATTTCAAGCTATACAAGTGATAAAACTTTAATATATTTCAAGCTGATTTGTTAGCTTGGACCAGTTCGCGAGTTTTTTTAAGCTGCTACGAATAGTTTGCTGGTGTACGAATAGAGAGAGAAAAAATCTGAAAAAACGGCCTCCTAATTTGTCGCCTACGGGATTCACTCACAGTGTCAACTGATTTCACAAGTGCGCCATATCAAATTCCTCTCTTCGAGGCATCAGCTTCCAACACAGAGGCAAATCTGCAATTCAATTCGCGAATACAAAAAAAGCGACAAAAGTAGCTCTTAAAATGTCAAACGCTGAAGTGAAAGAAAAGAAAAAAACTATGAGACGAAAAACTCTGCTAGGTTCCAGTATCGAACCACCTTTGACCTCGAGATTAACAATCACCCGTCTGATCACTTCAGTTTTCAAACATTAATTACCAAAAAAAACTACCAAGATATGATGTTAATGCAGTAAAAAAACAGACTAGGGGTCCAGTCACAGCTGGAGGTAACTGTTTGATAATTTATATGAACTGATCTGAAACGTTAAGCCTAATTTTCAGAACATCACAAGTTGAAAAATTCTTGGCTAACTATTCATCAAAAGTACTGAGCAAAAGTTTTTGCGAAATAGATCAATAGAACATCTCCATTTGATTGATTTCTTACACTCGAAAATGGCATGGTGATTTTGGAAATATGGGTCAAAATAACACGGGTCAAATTTGATGTTTACAAAGTCCATAGCAGACTCCTGGCCAGAATTGGTAGAATCAGCCTATGCAGGGGATACACCTACAATTTGTTCTTAGCATTGAACCCTTAAGTGCCCGAATTGTCACTATTTCGAAAAAATAATAAATTATAGGTCCACAATTATTCTCCTTAAAACATTAGGGCATAATCACTTTAACAGAAAAACTTCATAGCACTTGTTCTGTTGAATGAATCTCAGCCTATTAGATTAATTTTGAGATAAATCTATAAGATTACAAAAAACTAGCTGAACTCGAAAAATGTTACATTTTACTGTGCAGTATTTTTTTTTTCATCAAACAGGACAATGTAGCTATATCAAAAAATCTTCACAATCTAGTCTTTTGATTGAACCAATTATCAAGATAGTTTATGAGAAAAGTCAAAAAGTTTCCAAAAAAAAGAGCAAAACCTGGATAATAGACATTTTCTATGGTCAAAAATTGGTCTTAACTCCATTGCTGATTGCTAATAAAGTTTCGTAGAATATGTCGATGCAGTGGATAACCCTTAACCTTAGCTTTTGCACCGTACTTCTCGAGAAAACCCAAAAAATCAAAGAAACTTTCAACATTTCAAAACGTGGGCTGTTTCAAAATATGTGCTTGGCAAAATAAGTGCCGAAAAATTTCATCCACCTTTCGATTCAACCCTTAAAGATTTGGCAGGATAGTTTCCATCATAAGTTTTTGAAAAATGGTCAAAATTTCAAAAGGTAGACCTCTCATTCTTTCAATTCAACCCTTACAGAATTGGCAGGATAGTTTCCATCATAAGTTTTTGAAAAATGGTCAAAATTTCAAAAGGTAGACCTCTCATTCTTTCAATTCAACCCTTACAGAATTGGCAGGATAGTTTCCAACATAAGTTTTTGAAAAATGGTAAAAATTTTTTAAAAAAAAGACTTTTCCCAAGTCAAACCTAACCTATTTAAAAAAAGTTAAGGGCGTAGCAGCTTATAGAGACAAAAGTTCTGCTACCTTTTCTTTCGATTGAACCCTTAATCTTAGATTTGGCAATAAGATCAAAAATAAAATTTCCAAAAATGATCAAAACTTCAAAATTAGACAATTTATATTTCTATAACTTTTCTCCAAAAAAAATAAGGGAGTAGCCGTCATCATTTATGCAGGAAGAATTCTTAACACCGGTTCTTGCTATTGAATTTTTGATCTCAGATTTCTTTATCGGCATGGTAGATTTCGAGAAAAAATATGTTCGAAGCAGCAATCAACAGTTCAAAGTTTGGCCATTTTCTAAGGCCATAGTTTGTTCTACAAACAGTACGTAGCAGCTTACGCAATAACATTTTCCATTGGTATTCCAATAACATTTTCTTTTGTTTAAAGTCTTTGTTGATCTCAGATTTGATAGGGTAATTTTTGAGAAAATGATTTAACAAATCCCAAAAATCCGTCAAAAATCTCCCCCATTGCAAGATTATAATGCCGTCTGGCATGTTAAAAAGAGACTAGCAAAAAATACGGCAGAAAGGGGAGTACACAATTTTTTCATCGTTTTGTGAAAATAATGGTGCCACCAATAGTCTTTCAACCACTTTTGTGAAAATAATGGTGCCACCAATAGTAGCAATAATATTTGCGACTTGTATTAGAATAAGTGGACTTGGTACTAATACACTACGCTCTGCGTGTGTAAAAAAGCAGTGGAATATGCTATTAAATTGCCGATAGAAGTAGATAAGTACACATTTACTGGTTACATAGCAGTATTTACACAACCGCTTATTCAGACATGTCAGTATTTAGACAATACTGTTTTCACCAATCAGAATCGAGACAAGGAAGAAATTAATAAACAATTATTTTTATTTAGGATTAGTTATGTCTTATCTCGATTCTGATTGGTTCATACAGTATTTGTATAAAGACTGACGAGTATGAATACGCGATTATCTCAATACAGACCGCACATTTACTGAAACTGAGAACTAAATGACACGAGTTAGGTAGAAAAATGAACGTAATATAACACAAGCGTTTGTTTGCGTAAATCGGTGTGACATTTAGTATAAATGTCAGGAATTTGAACTTTGAATAAATGCTGAAGGCGTATAGTTGAACTGTGATGTATTAGATAAATTGTCATACGATTAATGTTTGTTCTATTTGTTCGCTTATTTTGAGATTACTGTATAACTACACAAAATCATTCCACCAACATCAAGATCAGTTGGTTGGTTTTTGAAAAAAAATTATAGTACGAATAATTTTATTTTTGTCATCTTAACACCAATGGGACCCCAGCACGAGCCTAATATGCATCTGAAGAGATTAAAGTTTAAGTGACATATTATTAATAGAGGATAGCCTTAATAAGCTATCCGAAATTGTGATAGTACAAGCTGGAGATGTCACGAATTCGCGCAACAGTTTCTATTCATGAGAGATCTTGTTTTTGATCGATGGAAATTCAAAAATCTGTGAGAAAAAATTGTATCTGCACTGGAAAAACCCAAAAGAGAAAAAGTTGGAGATTTATTCAGTAGTTGCTCGAAGGATGAGTGAACGGAACACCTAGCAGGCGAATATCTTTGGAAATGCGAATTAATTATTGATCGAAATCATGGACGCTCAGAACGAACAGTTATTTAAATGCGGATTTTTGTTTGGATTTGGTTTCTATAGATATGGCGATTCATTTCTAATTCCGTGGACGAATCAAAATCTCCGCTGTTCGAGGATAAACGAAAAGCATTGAGAAAAACGATGAATCAGTTAATGTATGTAGAATTGTCCCTATCACTTGTTACTAGATGAACATGTTAACGAGAAGATCTGAGATTTTGAACACTGAAGCGTGAAAATGAAGTGATGCGCATTTCTATGGAGACTCTGGAATACCTAAAAACAAAAAACGGGAAAGTTTCTTCAAGGGTGATAGTGTGACATTTAGTACAAATGTCAGGAATTTGAACTTTGAATAAATGCTGAAGGCGTATAGTTGAACTGTGATGTATTAGAGAAACTGTCATACGATTAAATTTTGTTCTATTTGTTCGCTTATTTTGAGATTACTGTATAACGACACAAAATCATTCCACCAACATCAAGATCAGTTGGTTGGTTTTTGCAATAAAATTATAGTACTAATAATTATGTTTTTGTCATCTTAACACCAATGGGACCCCAGCACGAGCCTAATATGCATCTGAAGAGATTAAAGTCTAAGTGACATATTACTAATAGAGGATAGCCTTAATAAGCTATCCGACAATAGGCGAAACTAACTGAGACATATTGGGCGCGTCGTTGGGAACTCACTTGCCGTGAAGCATGGTTAATTGATACCAGGGCGCGTCGTTGAGAACTTACTTGCTGTGAAGCATAGTTAATTGATACCAGAGCGCTACTCATGCTACAATAGCATCTCTTCTAATGTTTTGTTCCATCAATAGCAACTTTAATACCTTAACGGTTTTATAAGTTCAAACCTTGGTTAAGTTAAGTCTTCAGCTATGAGGGACTTTCAATCTTACCTCTGGATTTCTTTTATTCTTCATGATACTCATGAGGAGAGGCTGGTGGGGATCAGCTATCTGCACATCATAGTTCTCCTCATAGTATTGCAAAAAAGACATCTCTGTCCCGTCTGATTTCTTAAACGTCTTCGATGGATTCATTCCCCAATCAATGTCATCTACTCGGTAAGTTTTCTTGTTATACCTCGTGAGGATGACCTGACTGCAAAGTTCCTTTGCGACCCTTTCCCGGAAATTTTCAGGTCTCACCGTCTGTGAAATCTCAGACCTGTTGCAACACAACAGTGAACGTGGTGCACACTACACACGAGCAAGTGGCTTGGCTGCCTGGGGGATATTCTCATGCGCGAAGGACCGAATGAGCGAAAAAAACTAGTGAACGGAAGACCGAAAACAAAATTAGTCTAAGTCAATTTTGAAAAAGAAGCAATTGCCACTCAATTTAAATGAATTAAATGAAGCAATATTTTGCTTCTTTCATGACGAAACCCTCGAAATATAAAATTTGTTCCAATTTGGCGGTGGTCAGTGACAATTTGAAAATTTTTCATATTTCTGCCGTTTTTATATTCGGCCAATATCAATACTCCAGTCTCTGGAAATGTTTACTTTCTTTCCAATTTCTAGATTACCGAAATCTGATTGGCTGATTTTTATTTTCGCGCATTCGGTCCTTCGCGTATGAGGGATTCCACTTTGCTCCACCGCTTATGAGCAGCAAATTGTAGGGTCGCTTCATGTATTTGATCATAGCTTAGCCATGCATGCCTCTGGGTGCTTGACAAACAAAAATTTTCAGAAACATAACGGGAAATAAATCGAGATTTGGTGAGCCAATCATTGAGTGATACTTCAATTCCCGTCATAATTTGACTTGATACAAAAAATAGCCGATTGCAGTAAAAGTGATTGTTTTTTTTAGGTTGTGTAGAGGAACGGGAGTTGAAGCTTAATTAACTTTTTGACGAAACAATACTGACATGAGATCGTAGACATTCTGCGTTCTAACAACTCGATGTGAGACGTCACATTGAAGCAGCAGACCCCCGTCCACTTGGGACACTGTATTCACATAGCCGGGCCATATCTCCATCCTAGAAACGATTGAAACAGCTTATCGACATGTAATCCGAAAACACACATTCCAAAAGGAGCAAAAAAACAAAGCCATTCAAAAGCAGAGAGACGCGTTAGAGCTATCAGAATTTCAAATGATCCAATCCCCGAATACACGTGATTAGCTTAGCCAATTAAACAGTTCTCTTAAAATAAAGCTAACTGACAGTTGGGAAAGAGTAATGAAGGCAAGTAAACAGGAAAAAAAAGACTGACTTTGCTGAAAAAAATCTTGAATTTCAACTTTTGAATATCAAAGAAAAAATTAGATGCCCATTTTTTGCGCCGTTTCCACGTTCGCATGTGGAGAGTGCTGTTTACGTAACTTTCAGCAGATGAATTTCAATTGAACTCAAAAAGTGCAAATTCTAAGTGCATTCATAAATGCATCATGAAGTTACTAGAGACTTTTAAGATCCTGAAAAGCTCATCAATCCTCATCAAAAAGCTTACAACCTAGTCCACCAAATACGCTCTAAGGAGCTAAAGGTCACTGGCGACAACCAATTTTTATTGGCTATTATAAGTTTCACAAACAGTTCCGAAAGGCATAATTAATAAAAATTACTATTTTCCAGTTTTATAACAACTTCAATTTTAGGTCCTTGTCTCTTTTTAATTAATTCTGTATGTCTGAAATTGTAACTTTCGATATAAGAAGTAACTTTCGAGGTGAGCTCTTGCAAGTTAGTCATAGCTTAATAGGCGCTTGTGCTCTTGTCAACTTAAATAATTAACCTTCACCTTCAGGTCAGGCCTGGTTGACTAAAAAAAACATGTGAATAAACTCACTTGTGCTGGTGGAGAACAATTGGGTTAGAAGTCAAATAAGCAGCCTTCTTCTCCACTTTATAGTTCAATATCCTCATCAATCTAAATAACAATACAAAAGATCTTTTTTAAAATAGCTTCAAAATCAACGGTTGGATCATTCACATAGATGTAAAGGAAAAAACTAAATTTGGCCGCTTCAACGTTAATTCTGCAATTATAGGTGTATAAACATGTTTCCTTATTTTTGACCTGGTTATGTTCCCTAAACTGATCATACCGAAGAACGTAACTTCGATATCAGCATGATATCAGTAAATTCAAGCAATCGAGTTTATTGGCTAAGCTTATTCAACCATGAGCTTAGTCGTATATTGACCTTTTCCATTTATCCATGAAAAATTTCAATATACTTGCTTATCAGATTTTGACAGAAAAGCCTGATTTTTACTCATTTCAGATCTACATGCATTTCCACACTAGTAACTTACTTGTTGAACATCATATTGAGCATGACGCAACTCTGTCTGCTCCCTGGTCCTATTTGTCGCACTACATTCAGTCGAATTTCTACCGTCTCGTTATCCCTGCAAAAAAAAACAAGAATGCATTATCGTTAGAAATAAAATCAATAATTCATTATTCCTAGAAAGACAAACAAGCCCAATGAACAAAATTTAATATTATTTTTCGGAAATAAAATTAAAGAGTTGCAAAAAAGTCAGAAGATAGTAAGTTTAAATAAGCAAACGGTATATTATCAGAAATAATTAGGAGCTAATTTTTCAGGTCGATATTATCTCTACGGTTCCCTGAAATTTCAAATTTGGACATGCACAATTCATCAAAACTGTCAGATTGCACTTGATAATAAATTATTTCTGCTTCAAACTTGCATATTTTAAAAGTTATAAAGTAAATATATTTTTTAAGCCATTACCACTAACAATAAAATCAGAAGGGGGAGCGCGCGCCAAAAAACGCGTTTTTTGGCAAACTTTTTAAAAAATGCCCAAAAACACCATTGTTGACCTGTTGGCCCTCCCTCCCTCCCTCCCTGAACTTTGCACCACTTGCGAGACATTTAGCAGCGGAAGAAAATTTGCCAAGCGGTAACAAAGCCGAAGATACCTTAGCAGAAACCCTTTAGGTAGAAAAAAAATCAGCGAGATTTAAGACTTCTAAGAAGTTAACAAGTCCCTCACCCTCAACAAACACAAACAAAAAACTTTATTTTCTCGCCGTCAAATAAACTAATAAGATGCCACTAACCCAATATAATAAAGACCGAAACCAATTAAAGACGAAAAGGAAGGAAAAAAAAACAGAAAACAAATTCAAAAATTTTAAGATTAATAAAAAATGATTAAGTCCCCCTCAGCATCAAAACACACAGGCACACATAATTTTTTTTGCTGGTCGACAGACGCAATATTAAACCATGAAGCCGATATAAAATAAGCCGAAGCCAATTAAGGCGAAAAAAGGAAAGAAAAAAAAGCAACGAAAAAAACTGTCGTCATGAAAAACGTGAACTATAAATTTTATTAAGATTTTAGCAACATGTGCGATCCAGATTTGAGCATCAAAACTACCTTTCATTTGAAACGACTGAAAATTAGGCCACTAAGCCGATAAAACATGAGCCGAAACTATTTGGACAGAGAAAAAACAATGAAAAAAAGAAGAAACTATACAAGCCAAGAAATCGCAAACAGCAGAAGTAATTCAAAACACTAAGAAAAACTACATTATAAATTGCGCATAGCAAGAAAAACCAATTCTCTGATGTGGCAACTAGGCCGATAAAATATCAGCAGACAAATAATAAGCCGACAATTTCTTTTTAACGTAATATTTCCCGTTTGAAAAAAAAAAACAGGTCACGGACAGTTTCGAATCCAGGACCTTTGCAGTACCAGGCAAATTTGTTACCTCCAGGCTAAGTGGGCTGGGAACACTCAGAAGGTAACTCTAGAGATGAGTCCAGAAGTACACTACTGATGAGTCCTGTGGACAAAGTTGTTTACGGGAAAAAGTCGAGTACCCGATTTCAATACCCTTGCTATCGCTAGGGTAATTTCAATATTTTGGCAAAAAATAAAATATAGAAAAATAGTACTCTATAAACTAGTTCTTGCATGCAAAAACTTTTTGATTAGATCATCTGAACATCTTAATTATTTTTGCCTCTGTCCAAATTTTTTGCACTGAATATAACTTTCCTCGGTGTCGTGAAGGTGTAGTCGGATCTGGCTATACTTCTGATTGAGAATAGGGTTGTGTTGCCGTCGAAGTTGGCGTAGCGTAGTTCTTCCTGTGATCTCACAGCTCGCTTTCTCAGATTGACGTTGTCAATGTTCGGTCTAAACATGTATCCTACACTAATTCCAAAACCAGACGTTGGCTTCTTGTTTTCTATTAAATCGAAATCGTAAAACTTTTGGGATCTTGTAACTATCCCCCCCCCCCCTATTTCGATTTTCAGAAATTCAACTTTGTCGGCCACATTTTCATTAGCTTAAAACAATTTTCAGAACATACATATAGTAAAAATTTTTACGTGGGTATTATATAAATAGTGAGTATTTGAGTAATAAATACGAACGCGCGAAAATGAAAACCCACTTAATTTTTGACATTTTTGAAACGCATATTTTATACAGAAATGGTTGTCAAAAAATACATGCATAGGGGGGATAGTTAACAAGGCCCAAAAGGGGGAAATAGTTAACAAGATCCAACTTTTCCATTTTAAAGATGTAACTGTTGTAGGTAAAAATTGATTGCTAACAATTCAAAGATATGCGAAAAAAAAACTTCAATGCGCAAACATCAATTTCAAGTTAATTGAAGTCATTGACAACTAGACCCAAAAATGTACCCAACCCAAACAAAACAGAACTCTGATTATTTGATTATTGTACCTGAACTCGACAGAGTACTGGAAAAAAGAATTCGCGTGCGTGTCAATCTTTATGTAGTTCACCAGCACATTCTGCTTCCTTCCAGCCCTTCCCATCTTCTCCGAGGGGTCAATGATGGAAATAGAGGACATTCCCTCTGTTAGTTCTGGAACTGGTGATCCGGATGAACCGGGTGAATGTGATGTGTTGGGGACTCTACTGCGGGTACCTAAATTATAATATCATCATAATCATCATCTGGGTATGGTTTTTCAGTCCTTCATAGACTCATAAGTGATTTATTTACATCCGTCTCCGGAAAGGTTGCTTAGATTGTTACTTAGTAATTTCATCAACTCCTTCTACTTAGCCAATTTTCTTGTTGTACAATAGTTTATTCGTAGAGGGTCGCAAATAAGCAGTTGGGTAAGCTTTCTCACTAATAAAAACGCGTTTTCTAATGGGTTGAAAACTATATCGCGATTTCTGGTCTTGTTAACAGAACAGCAACAGAAAAAGGGTTCTAGATTGTAAAAAAATACAAGTCAATTATGACCAAATAGAACCTGAGAAAATTTGCTAATAGAACACTTTTTTGCTAGTTAGAAACATAGCCAACAGACGGTTCGAAACGAGTCAATTTGTTGGAAAAACCTCGTTTTTCGAAATTCAAAATAAAAAAGATGACCTTCAAGCTCTTTGAAACTCAAGAACAACTTTTGATTGGCACACTTTTTGAAAGAAAAATTAATCCAAATGATAAAACCGATCAATAGGTAAATTGTGTATTCAGCTTAGAAATCTGAAAACTAAATTCCACTTTCGAAGCTAGAAATCGATGACGTTTTTCGTCACCTTTACACTTTTGCTGTTCGATAGTGGAATAAGCCTTCTTTTTAAGAAAGGAAATGAACTGAACTTAAAAAGAAATCAAAAGTCAAACAGCGAAAAACGTAAATGTCTGAACTAGATTCATCGACTTTTAATAAGCCCTTTTAATTTCGAGAAAACTTCTCATTGAATTTTTTTTGCTTAAATTAACAGAATTTGAAAAAAAACTGGATCGATGGGTAAGTTTTTAAATTCGCTGGGAATCTGAAAATCAATTTACTTTTTCAAAACTAGATTTCAACCATGTTTTTTGTGAATTTAACAAAGTAAATGAGCTTCGCCTTCCTTTTAACAAAGCAAAGAAATTATAAAGAAATCATAAGTCAAACCGCGAACAAGTAAGTTGGAGCGTGAAAAATTGTTAAGACTTACTGAAAAAAAATTATCACGACCTATATAAGAGTCTGAACTCCGTACATCGACTCTTAAACAGAAAAGTTTTTTTCCACTCCCCGTTCCCCACATTTGAATTAATAGATTGCAAAAACTAATCAAACATCAATGTTATGCAATGAAACTTTGCATGGTGAACAAACCAAAAATCTTTTCTCCGTAGCTTACAGCGATTAAAATTACGCATTTATTCAAAATAGTATGTAAATTATACTGGAGATAACCATTTCAAATGAGGGGTGGAAATGTAAACGCACCCTCTAGTGAATGGGGAGGAAATGGAGCAGATAACCCGTTAAGAAAATTTAAACCAGTTTAATTGAACTATCGTTTTATTAAGTTTAGCGACGAATTTTTTATATCTTATCTACGTTGCATTCGCATCACTTGCAATTTAGCAAAACATACCATTGCAAGCTCGCAGAAAGAGGCAGACAAAATCTCTTAACCATATCAAATGAGGGGTGGAAATGTAAACGCACCCTCTAGTGAATGGGGAGGAAATGGAGCAGATAACCCGTTAAGAAAATTTAAACCAGTTTAATTGAACTATCGTTTTATTAAGTTTAGCGACGAATTTTTTAGGTAGAACCTTTTGATATCCCTCGATTCCAATTTAATTTGAATGACTTCATTCATTTTCTGAGAGATCAGGAAACTACCCTGACAATTCAAAAGTAAAAATAAAACATATCAAACAAAGTTGGAAAAAGTTCAAAGAAAAAGGAAACTTGAATTTTCTACTTACGATTTTGCAAGAAAAAATTTATCACGTTTAAGAGACTTCAAGCCTCTTTTATAATTGACAATTTTTTTTCATAAAACTAACTCAATTAGAGAAAAAGGCTCAATAGTTATTTTCAAACCGTTGGTAATTCTGAAAAATAAAATCCTCAAGAAAATGAAACCATTTCAAGTTTTTTTTGCAACATTTGAACTTTCGAAATGCGAGAGCCTAATCGTTTTCCTTTCAGCACATGAACTTGAACTGACATTGAAAAAATCAAATATCAGACTGCGAATATCAAGTTTGAGCGTTGCATGGCGAAGAAAATGATATAAATTGTAGGATTTCATACAAAACTCATCCGCCCGATTTTAAAGAAGAGAAAAGCATAAGCAAAAACAATTAACTAACTTCAAAAAAACTGGTCAAAAATTATGAAATCTGGATAACTTCAAACCCCAATTTGTTTCTAGTATAAATTACATCCATATATGTTTAGTTCCAGCTCGCAATGAACCAAGAGATCGCGCAGGAAAAAAGTGAATCATCAGAAACAAGTATTAGTACTTGTCAGACAAGTTGTCTAAAACATGACTAGTAACAATTCAATGATACGTTTAAATACAGAAGTAAGAAAAACTGAAAAAAGCCGCGAATTAGTAAAACTTTCGCGAAGTGTCAAATTCGAACCTGCGATCTCCAGTCTCATGTTCTTACCTCTGGGCCACGTACGCTTAACGATCGACAAACACTTGCCACAAATAAAACAGAGAACAGATGCTATGAAAAGTCCAATGCTACAGGTGGTGATTATAGCAAAAGTTCCATGAAAAGAGCACATTTATTTGCAGTTAGGTTGAGTTATGTTGTAAAAAAGTAGGTTCATACTAATACACGGCGCTTGCTAGTGTAAACAACCAAAATATGATTGGAAAAAAAAACGATTTAGAAGTTTGATTAAAAAATGACTTGTTTCTGATAAAAAAAACCATAACGACCTATAAAAGAGAAAACCACTTTGCTCATTTACAATTCAAAAGAAACGTCCGCGCAGAAAGTTTAAAACAATGGTTTATGAAAACTTGAAGTCCCGAACCGGTTATTGTTCAACTAGCATAAAACGACCCATGATATCTTATCTACGTTGCATTCGCATCACTTGCAATTTAGCAAAACATACCATTGCAAGCTCGCAGAAAGAGGCAGACAAAATCTCTGGGTCGGAAAAATAATATAAACAAAATTATCGAAAAAAAAAATGCAGTAAAATTCTCATGCGTTTGTCTCGAATGGAGTTCAATTTGGGCAAAATATGTTGATACACAACTGCCAGCGTTGGATTGGCACTAATGCAAAAATTACCAGGCGAACACTAAGCCGACAATACTTAAGTATATGTCAGTTAAGCTCAAAACAAACTTTACAGAAGAATTTTGAGCCCTCAACCCCGAAACATATAAACATAAAAATCTGTATGCGCTTAAATTCTAAAGAGAGACCAAGCCGAAACCATTGAAGCCGAATAAACCTTTCAAGCAAAAAAAAAACGTTTAATAAAGCCAACAAAAAAGTGGAAAAGTATCAATGAACTCAACGAAAGAGAAACTTCAATTTTTACATGAAAGGGGAAGCTCAGCTTCGCACCACTTGCGATATAAATATGAATGACTATGAAAATGGAACGGAAAAAATTCAAAAAAACCTGTCTATGTAAGTTGCAACAGAAGCCTAAAATATCCGACACAAAAATGCATGCACCATTAAAAACTCTGCAATGAGCTTTGTGAATGCTATACAAAAGCTACAAAATGTCAAACAATTTAACAAATCGAGCTGGTAAAATAAGAGGCCACTCAGTTGGTATTAATTGAGCCGAAATTTTTCAAGTCGATGAGAGACGAAAAAAATGAAATTTAAAAAAATCGAGCTGGTAAAAAGAACATAGCCAAGCGAAGATTGGAAAAGAGTAATGAACGCAAGTAAGTGTTAAAAAACACTGCTTTGTTGAAAAATCTCAACTTTCGAATTTCAAAAAAATAGATGCCCCTTAAGCTCTTTGAATTTCTAGAACGATTTATGATTGGCACTTTTTGAACCAACTTGAAGAAACTAGATGAACATGTTAAATTTTTAGTCCGCTGAAATCTAATTCCATTTTCGAAACTAGAAAGTCCACGAATTTTCGCGCTATTCGCACGTTCATATTTGAAGAGTGCTATTTACGTCACTTTCAGCAGATGAATTTCGATTGAACTCAAAAAATGCATATATACCTAAGTGCATCAATATTTTAAGACTCTTTCCTGAAAAAAAATCAGTAAGACCTATATCAGAGTCTTCTAAAAAAATCAGCAAGACCTATATAAGAGTCTTTAAGAGCTATATAAAAAAATTGGCCGGATTTTTAAAATGCTAAACATTTTAAGCTGTAAATAAAACACTACAGTGAAAATTATTTACAGCTTAAACAAACATTGCTTAGATGAGGCAACTAAGCCGACAAAACATAAGCCGACAAAAAATAGGCCGAAATTTTTTAGAACCAGAACATTTACTTTTTGAAAAAAAAGCTGATCTTGGTCAGATTCAAATCCAGGATCTTTGCCGCCCCATGCGTATTCGCTACCACCAGGCTAAAGGTTCGAGAGACACTACAAAATCCGAATTCATTATAAAGCAAGGTACTACTATGAGTCCAATGAATCATGTAGAAAAAATGTTTACGGGAAAAAAGTCTAGAAACCGGTTGCAATACCCTTGCTATTGCAAGGGCAAAAGATTTTTTCAAGTATCGAAGACAAAAAATTACATCACGTTGCAGATCTTTGAGTTTCAAGGATCTTCGACGATTTCAACTTTTTCCTAAATTTTTTCGCATTTTAGCTTTCGTATTTAGTCTTGACAAGCTGTAGCCACCACGGTAACTTAACTATTAGGGGTGGGTGAAAAAAGAAAAAAGAGTCCAGAGCTCAATATTAGTGTAAAAGTGACTAAGAAAATTAACCACTTTTAACCCGCTTTTTTCGGTGTGCCGTTGGAACGACCAAATAGGGGTCATTGTACGCTGCTATTTCTGAATCGCTTTGCCCACTTGGTTGTCGAAATCTGCCAAATCCTGTTCTAGCTCTTGAACAGTGTATGTGGGTTGATTGAAGTGTAAAAAAAGATCCACGTTATATCCCCCTGCGCTTCTATAGCTTCAGCCAAATCCTCCCTACCTTTATCGATGGGAGTGACCACGTCTACGTCGTATTCGCCCCAGTCAGTCGTGCGCACAATTTCCCTTATAAACATATCCTCACACAGACGTTTATGTCCAAAAGGACTAGTAGTTTAAAAAAAGTATATGTCTGATTAGATGAAATCCTTGTTTGCTCAGTATAATAGCTCGTTTCTTTCCAGGACTCGTTTTTGGATTGATTACAATGTTGTATTCTCTTTCGAATTTATTGAGGTTTGGGATACTGACACTCAAATTACCGTTTACTACATTGAGCAAGCATTCACAAACAACTGATATTATTTGACTATTTGATGTTTATTTTTCTAATAAAGCCTCGTAGTTGAGTTGGATTCAAGTGCTGCAGAATAAATAATCTTTTCGCGTTCATTTGTGATGAGTGTCACTTCTGCCTAATCGAATGGTAAATAGAATATTGACAGTCCAGGTGGTATTATGTCTGAACAGCATCTGAGACAGTCTAATGTTCGAGGATCTAAATCTTTTAATAGACGTCCAAAGCTGTCCCTTGTAGCCAGTTCATACAAATGTCGTATAGATTTATGTGCATTTAGTTGCCTTCCGAGGTGAACAAGTTGCTGAATTTTAAGAATTGATTTGAATAAAATGCTGTGAGATGTGTTCCAATCAACAGTTAGTGACCATCGGCTTGGTTGGAATAAATAATCTTTAACATAAATAACATCTAAGCCTTTCTGTCTTCCTGCTGTTGCTGTTTAACGAAATCTGTATCATTGTATATTTCTTAGCATTAGTCATCAAACATTAACAGAATGTTTTCAATGTTTCTCAATCGATCAAATTCATCAAACTCAACAAATTTTAATTGAATTCTGCGAGCGTTTAACTCGTCCCTAACTATAGATTGAATATCTTTGTAAAAAATAGCACTCTTTCAAATTTGGGATAAAATGTTCTTGTCAATAGTTTGAAAATGAACTCTGTTTTTCCGGATCATGAAGGTCCTACAACTGCCATAAACAGTCTTGTGGACGTATCAATAATTTAATTCGTATCCTTGGGTTTGGTAGCACCTACCCAACTAAACTAGAAACTATTGAAAATCAAACTGACGTTTCTTCACAGCTTATTTGCGTCGAAGAAAGTTTATAGATACAAAAAGTAAGTAAAATGAAAATTAAACTAATTTGAGACATTAAAAGCCCCTTGTGATCTGTTGACCGTAATATCATTACATAACTTCCAATAGTTTTTCGGTGTTTGTTTGATCATAAACAAATCGGTGACTGTAGTCGCATCAGGCTCATCCATTGCTTATTCAGACATTCAGCTGTTCAATTTCATTTTCTCTATCTGGTTCTCTCTGACTCTCTCTCTATGTATAACATTTGTTTCTTAATGAGAAAGAAAATGTGTTTTTGTTATAAAATATATATTACCTATACTTCTGAACAAAAAAAATCTCGTATCGAGTATAACATGTGAAGTCATTGGTTATGTCATTGTCACTTCCATGCATTTCCACAACTTAATTGGCTGGTACGTTTTCAGTTTTTGCATGAAATACAACTTTCTTTACAGAATTCTCTTTTACTAATTTCTGAACTTCCTTAGGTAGGTCACTGCTGCGAAGATCCATTTGAATTCCGGGTTGACGTTTGGGGGCTAAGACTAGCCTGGGAAGACATACTCCTCGTTTGTTGGCTAACATTTTGAGAATACAAGTATCGTTGAATATAGATGAATTGTCAATGACAAGAAAAAATTTCTTAAAATAGTCAATTCTTCTTCTGATAGTGTAATTTGTTCTTTCCGCTGCAAAACCTGACCTCGGCAATTTATTTGATCTGTTCTAGTCAAACTTATTTTGATATCACTCTCTTGTGTGATCCAAGCCAAGAACACTAAATTTGGAGATAGGTACATCTCCGCGTTTGCTAGTCCTTGGTTTTTTTCAGGGCACATTGATTCCTGGAGTTGTAATGATGTATATCTCTATTGCAAGATGGATAATTCTTGAAATGTAAGTTTTCAATACTCGGGCAACCCAATTCATTAAAGATTCTCAACTTTTCGATCCAAGTACTTCGCAAGAAGTTCAGTCTTTTCTTTTCCTTCACATTTTTACTTTGAAAAATCTGATTGAGGTTTAAATTTAAACAATCTCCGCTTTCCCAGGGAATTCCGTTCCAGTAATTTGTTAGCCAGTTGTACGCCTTTTGCTCAGCTTTGGGTAGTGAGTTTAAAAGAACTGGAGGTAAAAAAAGAGAGTCGATATAATCAGAAGTTGTAATTGCTAATTCTTTTACTATAAAGGTCCTTTTTTACAGCAAAATCCTTCCAAATCTATCACGACTGATCGTTCACTCACCAATCTAATAATTGATGAGAGTTCTGGTCTGCTTAGTTTGACGAATAAACAGTAAGTAAAACCGCTCAAATGACCAATCAGACTGCGGTTATACTTCCAGGGTAGCATATAGCAGGAACTGAAACCCGTGTTGTAAACTTCGTGAACAACACCTGCAGCATTTTGAAAAATTGCATGCAGACGTAATATTTTTGAATCTTCTAAGTAGTGTCCAAGAACACCTCCATATGGTCTAAGTTTGATGGCTACGTCATAATTTGAACCATTTTCACTAGAAAAAAAAAACAGAACATGCAGCCAGAAAGTAATTTCGACGGTCAGAATTTTCCGGATAGATTTTTTCAGTCAAATAAATCTCATGGATGATTTCCAAGTCCGTTCAGGTAACTCTACGCTTTTCCAATTTCATTTGTTATTTTTTTCCAACACTATTTGAACCTGCTGAACTTCACGAGGGTGGAAGTAAAAGTAACCTCGTAGATACCAACTGCTGATATCTATAACTCGGTCATACAAATTTTAAAAAATCATCAGCATTCGACAAATCAATCGTTTTTTTTAAGTTTATGTTTCGCATAGATACACCAAAATTCCGAATCAAACTTGAAATTTCTAGACTGGTTGAAAATAACACGCAGTTGAAAGAACAATTTTTTGTCAGTGTTTTCGGGATAAGCGTAATTAAAATTCAAAAAAAATTAGGAAAAGTTTGTAAACCATCAGCTTCCGAAACATATTGTTCCAAAAGCTTTTATATTACGAATAACTTCTTGCGGGTTAAAATTTCTCATTCGCTTGTTTTAGATGTCAGCATATTGCCAGGTCATAATTATATTCGGTAGACTGATACTCCTCAATATTCGAATTGAGGAGGTGCATATCAGATTCAAGTCTGGTGCTGCTCCTGACTCTCTAGTGGTGAAGGAGCTCTGGCTCAAACCACACCACTGGGCTAAGGGGAAAACGGAGAAATTTGAACTGTTAAAGTCAAGGGAAAACATGCACCTACCAAAACTTAATTCCATTCCCGTTTCCATAGAGTGCCCGGAAAAGGACCAATTTTAACCACCATTAAAACATGTGTGCCCGAAAAAGTAGGAGATTTAACCCCTTTGGGGGTTAAAAGTGGTCATTGCAACGGCACACCGAAAAAAAGGGGGTTAAAAGTCGTCATTTTCTTAGCCACTTTAACACTGCTACTCAGCTCCACACACTGCTATTACTCTGAAAACACATTCCCAAATACGGATTAATCATTGAAAAAACTATTTTACAGCCAAAGTTTTGTTTTAGCATCCTTTGATCTACTTCTGATCAAATTCAAACCTAGTAAAAGCTTTCGTAGTCCTGTCGTTATCCAAAACTACCTATTTCTGACTCAGCTGACGGCCGAGTGTTGACTGGACCACTGCCGCTGTTCGATTGGCTTCCAGTTCCAGTGCTAGTCCCTCCGACTGGTCCACTTCTTGGGTGTTTCCGGCCACTGATTCCGCCCCGACTTGACTCTGGTTCGAGTACTGCACGCGATGTCAATGTCTCGGGTACTGCACGCAATCTCGGAGCCTAAAATACTCTATGTAAAAAACTTACCGACCAAAAATTAAACTCAATTGAGGGTGAAAAGCAAAAGAACCCAGAACTGTAATTTTTTTTTTTTCAAAACGATATTCAGTTAAACGATTAAACACGGTAGTAAGTATTGCTTACATTTGATGGTCCGGACAAATTGGATTGAGAGTCAACCCCAGATGAAGCTCCCTCGCCAGCTAGCCTAGCCTCCAAAATTCGCTGCAAACGTTCCCGTTGACCCATTGCTGAAGGAGTGCTTGTAGAGACAACATGAGCAACCCTTTCTAGCTGCTGAGGAGAATCGTTGGCGGGCACTTGTTGAATATCTCTTGTTTCGCTCGAGCTTTGCCCCTAAAACAAGAAAAGTAGTCGGCTAATTAATTTATACTAGCGTGTAGGTGTAACGCACCTCCGGTGCTTCAACTTTTTGACAACTCATATAAAACCGCAAATATCGGAAATAAGATCATCATACATTGAGTGTACTCTTGCAGCACCCAATTACAATTTAAAGTTTTGTAAAACCATGAAAGTTTGAAAGTCATAAAAGTTTTTTGATACAAAAGTTCATTGGAAAACAATAAAATGACATAAAAAACGTTAAATCTTGGAAACTAAAAGCAATTGAGCAGTCGCACTTGGACGCAAGAATTGCAACTCTTGAGAGTACTCTCAAGGTAACCAACTAGAGTTAGGAATTTCAAATTTTGAGAAACTTCAGTTTTAAGTTTTCTAAAGAAATTTTTTGAAAGCAACCCCTGGCAAGACTCTGACAGCTCCAAGTACAGGGCTAGAACTTTCAAACTTTAAAGAAAATAATTTTAAATTTCAGTTTTCTGAAAAATTTTAGAAAAAAAATACAGAAAACGTCATATCCCGAAAACTACAAAGATTTGAGCAGTCATAATTTGAGAAAAGATTTGCAAGCCCTGGGAGTACCCTGACAGAGTCGCACTATACAGATGGGAAATTCAAATTTTGTTAAGTTTATATATCTACGTGCTTTGAACAATTTAATTTTAAAAAACGTCACATCTCGTAAACTAAGAGCATTTGAGCAGTCTCATTATGACAAAAGATTTGCAACTTAGAACTCCTGAAAACACTCACAGTACTTAACTTCAAGGCTGACAATTTCAAACTTTCTGAATATGTTTAAAACTTTTGTGAAAAACATAACTCGTAAAAAACGTCATATCTCGAAAACAGCGTCAAAATTTTTGAATTCTCTCAAATCTAAGTTTTCTGAAAAATGGAGCAGTCATAATTGGAGGCCGAATTTGCAACCCTGCAGGAAACCCTGGCAGCATAACACTATTGGCTCTCTAATTTTAAACGTCAGAGTTCAAACTGGGAAATCGAAAAAAAGTTCTCAACCTTTGCATTATACGATTTAGCTTACACGTGAAAAGATTCTTTCGTTAAACATGCATAAAAAATACGCTAAAGCGTAAACATGGCAAGATAGTGAAGCCTACATTTAAATGTATAATAGATATAGATAGATAGATTTGTATAAAACTTTTTCATGAAAAAACGTCGTATCCGTAAAACTACAAGATTTTGAGCAGTCATATTTGGAGACAAAATTCACAACTCCTGGGGGTACTCTGACAAAGCCTCACTACAGAGATGGGAACTTCAAATTTTGTGAGAAATTTTATATCTTAGTTTTCTGAAAAACTTCGAAAAAGTCATAAAACGTCATCTCGAAAAAATCATAAAACGTCATCTCGAAAACTAAAAGGATTTGAGCCGTCATATTAAGAGGCACAATTTCCAATAACAGGATTGCGATCTTCAAAGTTTTAAATCTATTTTTTTGTAAATAATCATAAAAAACGTCATTTCTCGAAAACTACAAGGAATTGAGAAATAAGATTTGGAGGCAAGATTCGCAACCCCTGAGAGTAACCTGACAGCACCCAACAGCAGGGTGACAATTTCAAAAATTGAGATTTTTTTTTTGAATTTCATATTGTAGAAATTTTTTTGAAAAACCTCGATATTGCCGTATCTCGTAATTGAAAGGATTTGATTATTCATATATGGAGGCCACAATCGCAAAACCTGGGAAAACCCTGACGGAATCCCAATATTGGGTGGCTTATTTCAAACCTGATGAAAAAAAAACTTGATGAAAAAGAATTAGACGTGCAAAAATTCTTTTGTTAAATATGCAAAATTACGTTGAAAAAGCTTAAACATGGAGAAATAGTGAAGCCAGCACTGACTTAATTTGACCTCGAAAAAAAATTGCTGAAAAATTAATGACCTTGCGGAAAAAGTTCATAGAAAAATTTTCTTAAGCATTGCAATATATGATATAGCTTAAACGTGAAAAAATTCTTTCGTTAAACGTGAAAATTATTATGCTTAAATATGGGAGATAGCTGTGACACGCATTTAAATATAGTATAGATTATTAGACTAATTCGCAACCCCTGAATAACATAGCTTCTTATTTCTAATTCCTTGCCTCCTCTCTTAAAAACATAGCCAACTGACAGTTAAAAAAGGGTAATGAAAAGAGATGAAACAGCAATAGAGAACTCATTTTTTGAAAAAAAAAAGAACTTCAATTTTCGAAAGAAAAAATATATGCCCTTAATCTTAGCAAAAAAAAAACACCCGAATTGGTGCTTTTTTGCTACGATTAACCTAATTTGAGAAATCTGATAATTAAAACCCTTCGCTGATTGGTGCTTTTTTGCTAAGATTAACCCAATTTGAGAAATCTGACAATTAAAACCCTTCGCTGGGAAAACTGATAATTAAAATCCATTTTCGAACCTAGAAGTCGATCAAGTTTTCCTGACCTTAAAATTGTTCGATAATGGAGTTTTTCCTACTTTAAACAAAGGAAATGAGTAGAACTTAAAAAGAACTCAAAAGTCAAATCGCAAAAATGAGCGTGAAAACTTTTTAGACGCTTTCCTGAAAAAAAAGCAAAAAATCACCAATACCTATATAAGAGTACTCACTACGTTCATTATTTTTACTAACAAAAAAGAGATCACAATTCATAAGGCAACTTGCTAGCAGAAAAATGTTTTATAAGAATGTATTTCCTAATTTAGATTCAAAAGTACACAGTAACAAATATAGCTGGTTACTGCGCAAGAAGCACAGAATGTTCAACCATAATCTTTAGAAAATTATAGTTTAGAAAGTTTATTTTTCCAATTATTATAGAAAGTTTTTTCTGCTTGATGTTTTTAAAAGGATCTGACGTAAAAATATAATTTAGGCATATTAGACATTCATAGTATTCTAACCAAATTGGAAAAAAATGTAGAAAAATGAGTAGGAAAACAAAAATGAAAAAGAAAAATCAAAATTTTTTGAAGAAAATTTTTGAATTTTTTGACGTTTTTGGTTCCCAAAACGAAGCAAAAAACTTCAGAAACTAGCTTTATTTGTGTTGGAGGAAACGCCGCTTCTTCAGAAAGCTTTTATTCAACAAGATCTGAAATCAACATTAACAAATAAGAAATTTATAACATTCATCCCCGCCAAAAGAAAAGTCATTCATAACGCCATACAATTTCACAGTCTTCGGGTTTTTCATATATCTCTGAGCTCTCAACAGTGGAGCCATAAAATTGAGTTTGTTTTCTATTACGAGAACTCGTTCTTCGGCCAGCTTGCTTCGCTTGGTACTCGCACATCGTTTCTTCAACTGTTGATTGTTTCATCGAACTCCACAGTCGTTCCCGTGGGTTCAGACGTGTTTGTATCAGATACTTCATTCGGAGGGTTCGGCTCATTTATATCCTTTTGTTCACCAGCTACTTCCACCGGTTGCTCTAAAGGTTCGGAGACTTGAGAATCAATAGCAGGCATACCTGGCTCATCATGTACCGGAGGAACACCCGCTCCAGGAGCCAACGAAGAAGTAGATACTGTATCAGTCTTTCCGTTAGGAAATCGTACTCTAGCACAAAAAGGGTTAATTACCTGTTCAATGTTAACTGGAGTCACTAATGATCGTCTTTGTTGAGTACAAACTTTTTCAAATAAGCGTCGCGGCCTGATGATAACCAAGACGGAAATGAGAAACCAGCACTGCCCCGTCTGTCAAAGCGAAGTAAACGTGAATGTAGTGTTTCGTTGGTAGCTGAACATACATTCAAATGTATGCTAGGACTTGAGGAAAAACATCTTACCATTTTTCTAGTCCAAGTTGTTGTGAGTATAAAATGCAGCGAATTGCCGTCCATATCGTACCGTTGAAACGTTCAGTTTGGCCATTTCCACTAGGATGGTACGGAGTTGTACAAGAAAGAGAAATGCCGTTTTCATGACAGAACGAATTGAATTCACTGGACACGAATTGTCGCCCTCTGTCTAAATGGATATATGCCGGAAATACGAGCAAAGAGAACAGATTGCGCAAACATGCAATGACACTACTACTGCTGGTTTCTTTAATGTGAAATGCGAAAGGAAAACGACTATACTCGTCAATGACATTTAGCATGTGCACAGCACCACACTGACTATATGGAGTTTTTGGCCCAACAAGATCAATACCTAAACGTTCAAATGGCTTACTAGCTCGAACAACAGAACTTCTAAAGCTAGGTTTATAGAACCGTGGCTTGCACTCTTTGCATGTTGAGCAGCTGTTAATACATTTCTTTACTTCTAGAGAAAAAGCGAATTTATGCTTCTGAATATATTCCCAAAAACGGTTGATCCCTGGATGTGCTAACGACTTGTGAATCAATGCGATCTGAGAGTCCTGAGCAACAGCTATTCTTGAAAGGGCATCGGCTCAAAGGTTTTGAGAGCTAGGGCGTTAACTTATTTCATACCTATACTGAGATAGCTCCAAACGCCAATGGATCAACTTCTCGTTCTTGATACGAGACTTCTGACGGGAGAAAATGAAAGCAATGGCTTTTTGATCATTGAGAACCGGGAGTTCTGGAGAATTGGAGTTCCATTGCTCTGAGGTATGACAAGCGACATAATTTATTAGAGTCCATGCATCTTTGGAAAACAAGTACTGCATTCGTTATTCCGTGTGGTAAGCGACAAAACTGATAAAGTTTCCCATTGACTTCGAACGAATTGACTTTCCCGAATTTCAATTTGATGGCAAGCTGATTTCAAATCAATTTTGGAGAAAACCTTCTATTCAGCTGCTTCACATTATAAATTAACATTATGAAGATGCATTTAATGCTGATTTATGACTTCATTGCTGATATATATGCATTTTTATATCGCTGGTATGGCCCTATCCAGCTTGTGCACTTACCGTAACTAAACGGAAGGGCCCCTTTTGTAATTTAGTTTTTTTTTTTTTAAATAGTAATGATATTAGTAGTAATGATATATAGGTTTCAAAAATAAAAAACTCTTTCATGCCATTGATAGCCAGTCCATCGGTGAAGCAATTTCTCCACCATCGCCTAATTGTTGTGATAAACTTATTAAATAGATTTTGTTGAATAAAATTGTTGGAGGAAACGCCGCTTCTTTATAAAGCTTTTATTCAACAAGATCTGAAATCCACATTAACATACAAGAAATGTATAACAATTTGCTTGGGGTTTTAGGGTCTTAACTTAGGCATAATTGAGCTATTGTAAGCCTGCTCGTTTTATTCGCTCGAACTAAGACGAAAAATTAAAAAATTTCAAACCGGTTTTTCTCGACACCATGAAAAATTGTAGGAGTTTTATAATGTTGTTCAAATCACATCTGGAAGCGCTTTCATATGATATATCACTCAACCCAGTCCAATTATTATTTGTGGTACCTGATTTTGCGTGGAAAACAAAAGGAAACACTAAAACACACCCGAATACACAGTTCCTCTCCATCATCAATGGTCGGAACAACTAGGACAACCGGTCTAGTTTTCAATTTTTTGCAGAAATTTTTTCGAATGCTTGAGGTTTGCTTATTTGCAAGATGACGCTAAAAAAGTTTTTGCAAGATGACGCTATTATTTTAACTAAATTTTTAGTACTTGAATAAATGATAGGGTTTTTTTTACCAGTCAAACTGCAATTCTATAATAACACTTCTCAACAAATTCATTTTAGTAATATAGCGAACAGGCTGTTAGAAAAGAGTCAATGAACGCATTTAAACAGAAAACATGACTTGTTTTTTTTTTTAATTTCGACTTATTGTTTCAACTAGCTAAAAAGCCAAAAAAATTTGTAGTGCATATTTTTCATTTAAATTAACGAGGCTTTTTTGTTATATTTTTCTATTTCAAAAATGTTTATTAAAATTTTCAAAAAAACTAAAACTCTGCAAAAGCTTGCAACTCTATGGCATTCAGGAATTTAAGAGCAAGCTGAACCTTCTAAAACAGTCCGTGCTACGGGAATAAAGCCGACAAAAATAAACAGGTGGCGATATTCTGAAAAAGTATAAAAATTCCAGTTTGAAAAAAAAAACAGGTCCCGGTCGGATTCAAATAACAAGCTTTTTTCGTCTCAAGCAGGTGTTTGACCTTTACTCCAGATGCGCTGGGTGATGGATGGATTTCGAATTTAATATGAAGCAAGATGGAAAATCTGCAAATTCTTGTGAACAAATTTGTTCGCGGGCAAAAGTCTAGTACCTGATAGCATCATTGCGCAAGAGTAAACATATACTGCCTTAAAATGTAATTCTTTCAAAAAAATCTTTTTACACCTCTGACATTTCGCCGAACGGGATGATTAAGAGAGTTGTTACAACTTTTTGTTTGGTTGATATTCTATTCAATATTCAATTTTTACAGCTCGATTAATTCTTTCTCTCATGTCAATTTCTTATCTTCAATGAATAGATAGTCGAATATAAAATATCTTACTTATTACACTGAATTGAATTACATTATCAAGTGGACCAGCAGTTTTAAGTTTATGCATTTATATGCTGCTTGAATAAACTTGTTTTTAAAAAAAATCAAGTTCATGAGAGTTCCCATTATAAAATACATTACGTCGGACATAGAAGTCAATGTAAAAGCACAGGTTACAGCATAAAAACTTCCCATTAAGCGAAAGGATCAAACTTATTCGAAGCGTTTATTGCTGATATGCGTTGGTTTAATTATTACCGCTGCTTTTTACCATTGCCTCAGCCAGAGATATCCATGTTCCAAACCCATATGGTCTTCATACCTAACCATGTAAAATCATTTTTTCGGTTGTTGGGGAGGGGGTAAAAATTAAAGAGCTCCATTTCACTCACTGTGGCTGTACTTTGCTCTACCGCCGTTGCCTGCGACCTCTCCGCCATTATCCGTTTCAGCCGCTCACCTCTTGTTTCACCTCTTGTTTCCATTATCAGATCTAATAACTCAAATTAATTAACCGAGGTAAAAAACGAATGTAACATTTATATTAAGGGTAATCAGAAGGTCAAAAGTATCATAGTAACCGAGGTTACAGTCAGGAGTCCCTTCATCACGTATTCCAGTCAAAATCCTTGGAATTTTCTAAATATGGAAGTGATAATGATAAAAGAAGATGACAAGTGTTTAAGTCCTTTTCAATTAAAATCGATACGGGTTACATTTCTTCAATAAGAACCCGCAACTCGACACGAGAAAATATAATATACAAGTTATACAAATAAAAAATTTCGTCGAAACTTATTTTGTCATTTATTGTTCCGAGTACGCAAGCGGCGTTCGCAATCTGTATTGCCAGGGAGATTCTTTGTTTTAAAAAGCTGCCTGCTCTGGGTTCCTCAGTGCATATGCTCAGGTTCTTACAAAGCTTGCTCAAAAAAAATCTGTGCTGGGCCGGCCGCGCTCTGAATTTCAAAAGCTAGCGGTTGAAAAAGATATCCATCATTTACAAGATCTTTATACTTGTCAATTTTTCTCTCTTCCGCTTCAGCGTCAGCCGTACCAGGGTTACAAACAGAACCGCCATTAATCCTACAAGGAGCTAAGGAGTCTACTACCGTTACATCACACAAGAGCTGCTTACCAACATCCCATGGAACGAGCGTCAAACCGTCTGATAAACTTATTAAATAGTTTCAGATAAATTGTTGATATACTGGGACAGCCGTGGTGGTCCCCTGCATTTACTTCAAATTACTTTGACTGGATTCATTTACCTCTGCTACCGCTCGTGGACACTAGTGGGTGGACACAGGTTGGTGGATCACATGATTGTAGTTGGAGCAAGCTCACTCAGAAGGACCCTTGACTACCTACCCTACGATCTAAGGGTAAAGTATCGAAGATTCACTTTTGCAAAATCGGGACTAAGCCTGAACCCAAACAACGTGAGTAAACTCAAGAAATTGCAGTGGTTACTTAGAAACGGTTCCCTAAAATCCAGAGAAATCATTCTCTGGCACGACGTGATAAACAATAGTATCACAAAACATCCCAAAAACTTTAATACGAAGTGTTCCCCGGAGCAGTTAACTGAAATCATCACGAATTTTCAGCATCAAATAGCTGCGATCATATACATTCGTCGAGACGGTACCCCTCACATTTTTGAAAAGTTACGGAAGACGAAACCTCTTATCATCGACGCGATAAAACGACTTCTTCCTAAACAAAAACAAAACGACATTGATACAGTTGTTGCCCTCTCTAAACTACACCCCCCTCCGTCTCTTGAGCTTAAGTTGCTCAACAAAGTACTTTCAAAACGTCACAACCTTCGTTCACTAGTACTTCAGCAAAGATCAAAATCCAGAGTACGGCCCACCAGATCAAAGAGAGCAGCAGCAAAGAAAAAACAAGCAGCCCAATCCTCATCGCACTAGTTCTGGTGAGTCTGATTTTCTTGAGACTATTCTCTCCTGAGGTTTTTATACCTTGGAGTATCAGTCCAAGGGAATCAAAAAACTCAATAAGTCTTCTCTAGTCTGGTTTTCTCCTGAGGTTTTATACCTTGGAGTGTCAGTTCTGAGAAGATTTTTTTGAGCAATATGGGCTCAGAAGAAAGACGCAGAAATGCTAGCGTCTCGCAAGCATCTGAGAAATCTTGTAAAACATGCAAAAAGCCGATCACAAACAAAAGTCAAATCTTTAATTGCATTGCCTGTGGCGATGTTATGCACATGACAAAAACATGCACTGGAATATCTGAAACTGCCATCCTTGGAATTTCGGAGATCAGCCAGAACGTCCTCCTGCTCTGTAACTGAAAGAGTCGATGATCAACGATTTGATGCAAACCCGTCCATCCATTGCTGAAACAAAACTAAATGAAATTGCCGAACAATACTCTACTTTTAAACAAGAGATAGATTCACTTAAGCAAAAGATAGATGAAACAAGCAAAAAACCACAAAACAGAAATGAGCCAAAGCAACCTGCCTTAAACAAACCAGAATCAAGCTATAACGGAATCCGGATAAGAGGACTGCTTGAACTGGGCTCAAAAAGTTCAAGAGATAGACACGAACACGACTTGGAAGATGTGAACAAACTGTTTGCGTTCTTAACAGTTGAAGCAAAAATCACAGATTTAAAACGTTTAGGAAAATACGAAGAAGGAAAAAGGCCACGCACAATAGTTGTAAATGTTTCAAATGAATGGCAAAAACGACTGATACTAATGTCCTTGGCAAAATTGAAAAACTACGACAAAACTGTCTTTGTGTCAAAAGAGCTCAGCCCAAGTGAATTTCTGATTGAGAACAAAAATCTTATGAAAAGACGAACAATGATAGAAACTGGAGTATCAGCTAAAAACCTAAGGCTAAGGGACCTTGTCCTTTACCAATATGACGAAGAAAGTGGAAATTGGAAAAAAGTCGAAGAAAGCAATTGACTACCTACTGCCAAGTATTTAAAAATGTTATGCCTAAATGTCAGAAGTATTTTAGACATCAACAGAAGAATAGCTCTTTCAAATGCCATTTTACAAACAGACTACGATATACTATGTCTCACAGAGACATGGCTGGTAAAGGAAATACCAGATAAAGCTCTGCATTTGGCTGGTTTTAATATAATTCGCAAAGATAGAAAAAACTCCACTTTAAAAACCAATCACGGAGGCGTACTCATGGCGATAAAAGAAAATGTGCATTACGAAGAAATTGATGCTCAAATAGAAAATGAAGAATGCATAGTGGTCAAACTAACAGGTGAAACTGGGCATCATCAAATACTCTGCTGTGTTTATAATCCCCCGAAAAACAGTAAATACCAATGGAAACAACAAAACTTCATCAGTTTGTTCGAAAACCTAACAAAATTACAAATACAACACAACTGTAACGCAGTGTCGATTACGGGAGATATAAATTTTGAATACACTCATTGGAAAATGATGCACTCAAAAGACAAATATGAAAATGCAGTGTTAAAAAAGCTCATTGAACTTGACTATGAACAATTATTCGACTCCAAAAAAAAGCAGCTTGATGTTTTATTAACAAACAACCCTGGAGTAATACTCAACTGGCACACGGACCATTCAGCAACAAACGCATACAGCATCGACAAAGTTTCTTGCTCAGATCATTATGCTTACTCTGCAACAATTAACATGGAAGCCAGTATCAAAGAAATAAACAAAGATGAAAGTCTGGCGTTTAACAGAGCCGATTGGAAGATAATAAATCAAGAAATAAAAGACAAACCTTTCATACCGTATTGTTACAGTAATGTAAATGAGCTCCTTCGTCAGTGGTATGCATGGTTATGGGACAAAATAAAGAACAATGTACCCAAGGTTACATCACACAGATCAACTCTCCCCCCGTGGGTGAAGCCAAGTACGTCTCACATGCTAAAAAGAGTACAAACCTTAAAACGGCGTATCGATCGGCAAAACAAACCTAATTTAAGCATTATCCTAAAACACAAAAAACTGGAAAAAAATCTTCAAATAGCATTGACTGAAGATCAAGCAATTTACGAAGAAACAGTAACAAGCAGTAGACGATTCAGTGACCTGCAAAAATACTTGAACAAAATAAGTAGTTCCAGGAAATATCCCCAAAAAATGTTCTACAAGGAAAAATCCACAAGAGATGACACCCAAAAAGCTACATTTTTTAACGAATTTTTCATCAGTGTATATCAAAAGGAATCAATTCCTAACCCTCTCGCACGAAATACAAACTGTTCTCCTACAGAAGAAATCTGTACACAATTACACATTGAAGAAACCAAAATTCAATACATTCTCAAAAATCTTTTAACAAATAAAGCGTCAGGTTTTGATGGTATAGGTAATATAATCCTAAAAAATCTTTCTGAAACTCTGTCAAAATCGCTCTATCTTCTCTTCCGCACATTCATTAACAAGCGGCTCTTTACGACCTACTGGAAAACAAGTCAAGTGGCCCCAATTTTTAAAGAAAAGAACAAGGCGTCAGTTGAGTGCTACCGCCCAATTAGCCTCTTATGCTCCGCCTCGAAGGTCTTCGAAAAAATTATCTTTGATAATATATACCCCAAAGTTCAACCTTTCCTGGAAAACGCACAATACGGCTTCCGGCAAAAAAAGTCAGCAGTACTACAAATGGTACAATTTTTGAGCAACGTATATGAACTCTACGATGACAAAAATGTTCAAACACTATCAGTCCTTTACCTAGATTTTTCTAAAGCCTTTGATAAAGTTCCTCATAGTATCCTAGTCGCCAAACTACGGAACATAGGTCTAAGCATTCAAATACAAGACATAATACAAGACTATCTAACAGATAGAATGCAGTTTGTGAAAATCAATAAAAGTTCATCAACTCTGAAAGAAGTAACTAGCGGTGTACCACAGGGCTCAATTCTTGGCCCTCTACTTTTTATCATATTCATTAACGACTTTCCCAAATGCATTGAGAATTCAGATTGTTTTGGCTATTGTGACGATATGAAGATCTTGTCTACTGAAGAAATTCATCTGCAAAAAGACACGGCAAATGTTGAAAAATGGTGCAAAGAAAATAAAATGCCGCTGAATGAAGATAAATGTAATTTGTTAAACCTCAAAGGGAAAATGGAAGTTACACTATTTAATACAAATGTTGATACCGCAAAGACCCAAAAAGACTTAGGTATTTTAATGTGTGACAACCTTTCGTGGTCAGTAAATGCTGAAAATCGCATATCAAAAGCAATGGGAGCTTTTTACAAAATCAAACGAAATATCTCGAAAAAAACATCATTAAAGTCAAAATTAAACTTATACTGCGGATACATCGTACCAATCATAAGCTATGCATCGCAAACATGGTATCCGAACAAAGCAGAATTAAGACAACTAGAAAGAGTACAAAAACGAGCGACATCTTGGATTACAAATAACTTCAAAATGAGTTATACTGAAAGACTGAAATTTTTAAAGCTCCTTCCACTCTCAATGTACTTTGAATTACACGACATATTGTACTTAGTTTCACTACTAAAAAATAAACATGACATTGATTTGAATACAATTATTCATAAAAACGAATCACGAACGAGACAAGCAACACGTGGTGAGATTGCTGTTCATGCAACAAGACTGAAAAAGTCAAATGAAAATTATTATATACGTTCTAATACGCTATACAACTACTTTAGCCAAATTGTGGACTTCGAAAATCAAGATTATGACAGCCTGAAAATATCTATAACAAACACGTTTTGGAAATTCTTCAACAGAAATTTTGCAGAAAACAACTTGTGTATGTGGAGAATTCTTTGCTGGTGTGGAAACTGCAACCCACCGGGAAAAATTATGAACTTATAAACGAGGGTTCAAAACCCATGGAGAAATCCTAAAGCCTACACTACTACTACTACTACTACTACTAATCGGTCCTGAAGAGGTGTCGTGGTTCTAAAACAGACGGAATGTGAGACGAAGATAAAATCTGCTTTATAAGGGCATTCAGGTTTGAATGCCTAGAGAATCTCCCTGTATTTTTGCGACACGAAAGACCATGCCAACCATCCTCGGTAACGTCTTTTCCGCACACGCATTTATTCCGTTCGCATATTTTTGAGCCTAATCGAAGTCCTATCGCAATTCTGAGTTGTTGGTTCGACAGTTTTAACCTAAAATTTATGCACGGGATGACGTTCAACTATTGTTAGCCAAATCTATTTTGGAACGCGTTGAATCTTTTTACGTCCTTTGGTTCGAGTCGAAAAATCAAGTCCGCAATTTTGCTGTCAAAAATTGGCTCCGTCCAATTTTTTTGATTTCATTTTCAGGAGCAATTTCAATTTTTCCAAGTTCCAACCCTCGTTTAAGCGCAACATCATAGGTTCCATCCACATGCTCCAAATCAAAGATTTTGCTCAAGGCATCTTTTGCTCCTACTGCTGAGGCTAAGAAAGCGGGTAAAGCGAGTAGACGAGCGGAAGAAACACACAAGCCACCTTAGGCTGCCGGGAGAACTGCTTGTAAAAACTGATTGTCATCCATTTTTACGTTAGTGACCATGCATAACGAATTTCTTAGTAATTTATCGTAGCGTTCCAAAAAATCTTTTTGCAAAAAACAAGGGCTCATACGCAAAAAATATAGGAGTTTTGGCATGCTAAAGCAATATTTCAGGAGGTAAAAACCATAATGGGCGTCTAGTTTGTCAATGACATCCGAGATTTTTTCAAGCTCCTTAATTTTTTCATCGAACAATTCTTTTCGGCAAAGTTGGCCGATTGGAGATCCTAAAATGAGGAGTTCTTCTTTTTTTTATTTTTTTGGGGCATATTTTTCGAAATTATTTTAAAATTGAATTATACTATGTACTAGTAGTCGGTCCCAAAAAACAAAGTTCGCACTTCTCAGTGTTCAAGCTCAGGTCGTAATTTTGTTCCGATTTCAAAATGTTTTTAAGGTCCCGGAGTACTACCTTATAGTCGTCGGCTAAATTCCCATCATCTAAATACCAGATGTTAATTTTCGACTCCAACTGTTTGACTAGTGTATGAAATGTTTCCGCAAAAAAGGGTGGGGCTTCAGGATCACCTTGCTGAGTTCCGTCTTCTGACATTATGACAGAGCTTCCGTAAAAAAGGTAACTAGGTTTACCATACGCGCAATGGAGGTAATTATACAATTCGGGGCGATTTGAATAAACATGATTCAGCCTTGTTTCTCTGTTGAGAGAGTTAAAGGCATTCTTAAAATCTAGTTTTAAAAGAACAGTGCAATTTGGATTGTCGTCGCGTTTAATTAGGTTTCGAAACGAGTGCGCAGCTATTTCTGCTCCTCGTTTGGTACCGCATCCTACCTGTACGTTTCCGAAAGAATTTTGTCGCTCGGAGAGGGCCTTGTTTCCAGCGCATTTAGACGCAAGACGTCTCAGCGTGTTGCCTATGGCAATCGGTCTCCACCCTCCGTCTATCTTTATGAGGGCGATAAGCTTTGCGCCAAAAATGAAAGATCTTAGTGGTTCGGGTATTTTGCCATCTCCAATGAGGTTTATCAGCTTAATAAGCGATTTCAGAAAATTAAGTCCTGCACTGCCATTCGACTTACTAACAAGATCTTTAAAAATTTGAGGAACTATTTTATCAGGACCTGCTGCTGATGCGTTTGGAAAGGACATTATCCCTTTGTATTGGTCGAAATCGGTTACGAAAAAACTATCCAATTTTGCTGGATTTGGAGCTGCAAATTTGGCTCACTGAGGGTGCTTAGACAACAATTTTTGATAGTTATCAGTTGAAAAAGGAGCAATTTTGTCATCCGAAGCAGCAAGCCATATTGCTCCTTTTACATTTCCTTCATCGAGCTTGCTACTTATTAACTTTATTCTCTGCTCGAGGTCACTCAGAGGCGGGCTTGAAACTTGGGGATGGGGTTTTGGAAGTGACACGTCATTTGCTCGAATTTTTTTATTTATCATAGAGCTCATGCTTGTGGTCTGTTTGCGTCCACTTCTTTTCGGTTGCTCCAAAAAAAAAAACAAGAATGACGTTAAAAAATTTAGACAATGTCATTTATTTTGTCCGACAGACTTTCCGCCAAGGGAACACGCGAGTCTTTTGGTACTCTTTTGAGTACTTGGACATTTGAGATGGCTGTTTTAACATAAATGTCTAGCACTAAACCATTAGCTATTGTTGCTTTATTAAAAAATTTTACATCATCGCATAAAGGACACTGAAACCATTGGGTTTTCTTAGAGTCGCTAAGAGAAATATTTACACAACTGGTATATATCTGCTGAATGAAGACAATCGTAATATAATAAATAAGACGTAGCCCTGTTTTTAGGAATTTATCAGTCCTGAATCTTTGCTTGTACACTCTTTGTTGTTTTTTCTCACCTTGACGCAGCATAAAGGTTAAAAAAAAGGATTTTGACTGGACTTTAGGGGACTGAACTAACCCATGATAAGCGGTTAGTGAGAATTTTACAAAACAGCAAATCAAAAAATAAAAGACAACTAAATTAACTTAAATTTTAAAATCGAATTATAAAAATAAAAAAAAAAGAACAATCTCACCCGAGCTCAGTAGGTCCAGCGGTGCACCACCAGACTCCTCAAGCCAGTTCCAGTTTCCCACCTGCCCACAGAAAGCCACTTGACAGACCTGTCTCTAAAATCCCTCAGAGGAGGCTCCATAAACAGGCACAAACATCAAAGATAACAAATCTATTTAATAAGTTTAACACAACAATGTATAGAAACCCAGTCATTGCAATGTTCAACGTTTAGTTTTCAGTTATAAGAATAAAAAAGGTCATTTAAAATGGGCTCTTCCGTCATGCGACGGTACGTGCACAGGTTGGATAGGGCTATACCAACGCTATATAAAAAGCGTTGGTATACATTTTGTGAACACTAACTAATTCACAAAGTGTATGTGAATTTTTGTAAATAACATTTGTAAATTGATAATTTACCGTAACTTAGGTTAGTTTATTGTAAAAATCCTGACGCTGCACATAGTTGCAAAAATGTTTGAAAGTTACATTTTAGCAAAAATCTCTTCGCTATATAAATACATCGGCAAATTGTTAGGAACAAATCAAGTCGATTTTAATGCATCCAGAGAATTGTCAATCAAAATCTACCCTCCTCGGTTGTAGCACAGACAGAATTGTCTATGTTGGATGTAGTTTTAAGATTTTTGAACAATTTTTTTTATAAAAGAAGATGACAAGAGTTTAAGTCCTTTTCAGTTAAAGTCGATACGGGTTACGTTTCTTCAATAAAAACACCTAACACGAGAAAATATAATATACAAGTGTTACAAAAAAAATTCGTCGAAAATTATTTTTTCATTTATTGTTCAGAGTACGCAAGCGGCGTTCGCAATCTGTATTGCCAGGGAGATTCTCTGTTTTAAAAAGCTGCCTGCTCTGGGTTCCTCAGTGCATATGCTTAAGTTCTTACGAAGCTTGCTCAAAAAAATTTCTGTGCTGGGGCCGGCCGCGCCCTGAACTTCAAAAGCTAGCGGTTCAAAAAGATATCCATCATCTACGAGATCTTTATACTTGTGTTTTTTTTGCTCTTCCGCTTCAGCGGCAGCCGTACCAGGGTTACAAACAGACCTGGCGTTAATCCTATAAGGGGCTAAGGAGTCTACTACCGTGACATCCCACAATAGTTGCTTACCAACAGCCCATGGAACGGGCGTTAAACCGTCTGGTCGCTTCTGATTGGTCCTGTAGAGGTGTAGTGGTTCTAAAACAGAGGGAATGTGAGTAGAAGATAAGCTCTAATTTTTATGGGCATTCAGGTTTGAATGCCTAGAGAATCTCCCTGCACTTTTGAGGCTAGAAAGACTATGCCAATCATCCTCGGTAACGTCTTTTCTGCACACTCATTTATACCGTTCGCATATGTTTGAGCCTTCTCGAAGTCCTATCGCAATTCTGAGTTGTTACAGTTTTAACCTTAAATTTTTGCAAGGCATGACATTCAACCATTAGGAGCCAAATTTATCTTGAAATGCATTGAATCTTTTTACGTCCGTTGGTTCGAGTAGTAAAATCAAATCTGTAATTTCGCTGTCAAAAATTGGCTCCGTCCATTTTTTTAGGATTTCATTTTCAGGAGAAATTTCACTTTTTCCAAATTCAAACCACCGTTTAAGTGCATTATCATAGGTTCCATCCACATGCTCCAAACCAAAGATTTCGCTCAAGACATGTTTTGCTCCTACTGCTGAGGCTAAGAAAGCGGGTAAAGCGAGTAGACGAGCGGAAGAAACGCCCAAGCCATGTTTGGCTGCCGGAAAAACTGCTCGTATAAACTGGTTATCATCCATTTTCACGTTAGTGATCTTGCATAACAAATTTCTTAGTAAATTGTCGTAGCGTTCCAAAAAATCATTTTGCAAAAAATAAGGGCTCGTACGCAAAAAATATAGGAGTTTTGGCATGCTAAAGCAATTTTTCAGGAGACAAAAACTATAATGGACGTCTAGTTTGTCAATGACATCCGAGATATTTTCAAGCTCCTTAACTCTTTCGTCGAGCAATTCTTTTCGGCAAAGCTCGCCGATTGAAGATCCTAAAATTAGGAGTTCTTCTTTGGTTTTCGGGGCAAATTTTTCGAAATTCTGTTAAAATTGAATTATACTGTGTACTTGTAGTCGGTCCCAAAAAAACAAATTTCGCACTTCTTAGAGTTCAAGCTCAAGCCGTAAATTGTTCCGATTTCAAAATGATTTTAAGGTCCCGGATTATTACCTTATAGTCGTCGGCTAAATTTCCTTCATCTAAATACCAAATGTTAATTTTCGACTCCAACTGTTTGACTATTCTCTGATTTTTTTCCGCAAAAAGGGGTGGGGCTTCAGGGTCACTGTCACCTTGCTGAGTTTCGTCTTCTGACATTATGACAGAGCTTCGGTAAAAAAGGTAACTGGGTTTACCCTACGCTCAATGGGTGTAATTATACCATTCGGGGCGATTTGAATAAACATGATTCAGCATTGTTTCTCTATTTAGAGAGTTAAAGGCATCTTAAAATCTAGTTTTAAAAGAACAGTGCATTTTCGATTGTCGTCGCATTCAATTAGGTTTCGAAACAAGTGTGCAGCTAATTCTGCTCCTCGTTTGGAACCGCATCCTACCTGTACATTTCCGAAAATTTTTTATCGCTCGGAGAGGGCCTTGCTTCCAGCGCATTTAGACGCGATACGTCTCAGCGTGTTGCCTATGGCAATCGGTCTCAACCCTCCGTCTATCTTTATGAGGGCGATAAGCTTTGCGCCCAAAAAAGAAAGGTCTTAGGGGTTCGGGTATTTTGCCATCTCCAATGAGGTTTATCAGCTAAGTAAGTGATTTCAGAAAATTAAGTCCTGCACCGCCATTCGACTTACTAACAAGATCTTTGAAACTTTGAGGAACTATTTTATCAGGACCTGCTGCTGATCCGTTCGGAAAGGACATTATCGCTTTGTATAGATCAAAATCGGTTACGAAAAAACTATACAAATTTTTTGGATTTCGAGCTGCAAATTTGGCTCGCTGAGGGTGCTCAGGACAACAATTTTTGATAGTTATCAGTTGAAAAAGGAGCATTTTTATCATCCGAAGCAGTAAGCTTTATTCCTCTTTTTACATTTCCTTCATCGAGCTTACTACTTATTAACTTTATTCTCTGCTCGAGGTCACTCAGAGGCGGGCTTGAAACTTGGGGATGGGGTTTGGAAGTGACACGTCATTTGCTCGAAATTTTTTATTTATCAAAGAGCTCATGCTTGTGGTCAGTTTGCGTCCCTTTCTTTTCGGTTGCTCCAAAAAAAAACAAGAACGACGTTAAAAAAATAGCTATTTTGTAACATTTTTTACATTGTAGACGATGTCATTTATTTTGTCCGACAGACTTTCCGCCAAGGGAACACGCGAATCTTTTGGTACTCTTTTGAGTACTCGGACATTTGAGATGGCTGTATTAACATATGTGTCTAGCACTAAACCATTAGCTATTGTTGCTTTATTAACAGATTTTACATCAACGCATAAGGGACACTGAAACCATTGGGTTTTCTTAGAGTCGCTAAGAGAAATAGTTACACAACTGATATATATCTGCTGAATGAAGACAATCGTATTATAATGAATAAGAAGAAGCCCTGTTTTTAGGAATGAATTCGTGAATTCGTGATCTGGGGATACTGAATTCCAGCCTTGAGCTCACTATTTTTGCATGTAATTGAGTTAAATTGAGCGTTCTGGCCGAAGCCCAAAACGGTAGCAATGTTGTCGGCCCGACGTTAAAAGGACCACAAAAAAAACTGGCTTTAGCAGAGACGGTTAAAAGAATGAAAAGCTGTGTTTAGACGCTAGCCAGTCGTTTTACAACGTAGCTTCATTTTCCGTCGATATGTACTTCCGGGCAAATGTTACACTGTTTTCTACTGATTTCTTCGCTAAATATAACCGTTTTCTGCATTTCTCAGAAACAGACCGTTGAGAATCAAAATTTCGTAATTTAAAAAATTCCAGATTATTCCGACCCTCTTTTTTACTAATAATCGATCACTAAGGCCTTTTTTGTCATTTTGTAGTGCCGCCGCTGGTTTGACTGTGCCAATCCGGGGTAATTGCACAAATTTTTAGAAGGTGTTAAAATTGTAAATTTAAACAAACGTTTTCTCTTATTTTTGTACATCTTCAGGTTTTAAATATTCTAAACTATCTGTACAAAAAGATCAAAGATCATAAAAAGTGTCATACACATCATTTCAAAATCTAAAAAATTCAACCAATCAAAACTTTAAAAATATAACTGAAATTATGTTACTACTATCATGTGACAATTTCAAACACTTTGTCACAAATTTTGACACTTTTGGTTTTAGCCAAAATTATTTGGTTCTGGAGCAAAAGCCTTAGTGTCAGCTCCCTACTTCTAAACACGTCGCGCGTGTTTATTGCCGGTCTCTCTTTCCTAATAAGCAGCGCCTCCAATGTAGGTAACTTAATTTTCAGAGAAATTACATTAAAAAACTTCACAAAACTTAACATTACTATCAGTGTAGTGAGGCTTTGTCGGGGTACACTCAGTAGTTGCAAGTTTGGTTTTGCCTCCAAATATGACTGCTCAAAACCTGGCAGTTTTCCAGATATGACGTTTTTAGTGATTTTTTCAAAACATTTTCATGCAAATTAAATATATTTTTTTTCTTTCAAAGTTTGAAATTTCTAACCTGTAGTTGGGGCAGTAAGTAATCCCAGGAGTTGCGAATTCGGCCTCCAAATTCTCAAAATCTCTATAGTTTAAGAGATCAGACGATTTTAGAGATTTTTTTGGAAATTTTCAGAAAACTCAAATTATAAATATATATATATATATATATATATATATATATATATATATATATATATATATATATATTTATTACAAAATAATTCACTAAAGTGAAATTCCCAACCCTGTAGTTGTGTACTGTTAGAGTAACTTCAAAGATTGCGATTATTGCCATCAAATTAGACTGCTGAAACCTTGGTAGTTTTCGAGATGTGATATTTTTTCTGTTTCTCAAAAAAGTACCTGGCTTAGGAAACTTAAGGTTAAGTGTATCAAAATTTGAGTTTCCCAGCTTTGTATTTGGGTATTAGAAGAGTAATCTCAGTAGTTATAAATCCTGCGTCCAAATGCGACTGCTCAGTTGCTATTCGTTTCCAAGATGTGACGCTTCTTAGTTCATTTTAGATTTTTCGAAGAACTTATGAAAACTTCACAAAGAAGAAGAAGACAAGAAAAAAATCTTAATTAAAAGACTGTTCTCCAGTAACAAATCGATCAGAGTTAAAATCTGACAATCTAGCACCTATTTAAAAATGAATGATTCCGTACAAATCTTTGGCAGCATGTAGGGAGTTCGTCCACGAGTGGGACGAGTATTAATATTACTTTCCCGTTGCGCAGGCAGTAGACCTTGTAAAAAGTGTGACCCATTTTTCTCGATCTTCTGGAATAAAACTTCGTCTCTTCGTGTTATTATGTTTCGTACTTTTAGTTTTTTTTTTTTTGAGTAACTCGATCTGTGAGCAATTTTCACTACTCTGTTGATGGAAAATTGCTCATCAGAGAAAACACTGACAATATATTTAGCGTCACAGAAAGGAGCATCGAATTGGCTAAGCGTGCTCCCCCTAAAGAAATACAATTTCTCTCTTAACAAATCAGAGTTTAAAGATGGATTACATCTGAGATATGGATGGGAACCTCCAAACACCCCACATACATGCCCGTGTGGACAACCGTTCTCACTGACCCACTCCATACACTGTCCCAAAGGTGGATACACTCACCTAAGACATAATGAAATTCGCAATACCTTTGCGACACTCCTGGACGAACTATGCCATGATGCTGAAATAGAGAAGGATATTAACTCACTTCGAATGGAGAAGGATATTAACTCACTTCAACCAGACATCCATTGAGCTTAGCCAAATTGTTGTGATAAACTTATTCAATAGTTTCATGTGATATGATACGCTCAATCGTACGCTTGTAAGAAGAAGGCCCGGTACGGGAATTTAGAGACAAGCTCGTCAAGCCGCGATACACCCCCTCTACCCGGACATCACCGCCGGAACCTCCACCCGTGAAAAACCAGGTTGTAATCGCTTTCATTTCTTTTTTATTTGTTTTTTAAATCTATTTCTCTACAATCGATTTACAATCCTTTCTTTCTCTTGTTTTGTCTGTTCTGTACCCTGTTTAGTGAATATCCTTGCCGAAATACAGGCCGAAGTGGCTACCCACGTGGAGCAGGAAATTGGTAATAGGAACCTCAAGTACCAAGTACTGCAGCCCCAAAGATGTCGGAGCCACAGTTCACTCGTATAGAGGTGCAAAACTAGCCGACCTTGCCGCTACTGTCTCATGCTATCCCTCGCAGAAACTGAACTGTGTTACTATAGTAGCCGGCTTTAATGATAACTCATCTACAGTTTCAGACTTTGCTAATGATTGGAGATTTTTAATAAAATTGATATTTCATAAGTTTAACCCAAATGTGCTTATTATCCCCAAAATAATCCAAACAGGAAAAAGAAGCCATACTACTTATTGATGCAGAAAACGCCTTCAACTCCCTCAATAGAGAACTTGCTCTAAAAAATGTAGAAATCTTTTGTCCGGCACTACATCATGCGCTGGCCAACTCATATAAACATCCCTCAAATTTATATGTCAATAACACGGTTTTGACATCTATCGAAGGCACAACGCAAGGTGATTCTCTCGCAATGGCTATGTACGGAATGGGCATAATCCCACTGATTGAGCTCCTGCAAAAACCAAATGTATTCCAAAAGTGGTCTGCAGATGATGGAATTGCTGCAGGTGATCATAGGAGTCTCCGTGTAATACTGGACAACCTAGATGTGCACGGAAAGGCTTTCGGGTACAATGTGAAGCCTTCCAAGTGTCAACTCATAGTAAAGGAAAACTGTCGTGAAAGCGCCATAAAAGTATTCGAAGGCACAAATATTACAATGGTAGACGGTTTTAGAGTCCTTGGATCGGTCATAGGAACACCATCATTATGCGATAAGTACATCGAAAGCGAAATTGAAAAGACAGCTACCCTAACTAAAAAGTTTTCCAATATAGCTAAAACATCACCACAAAACGCGTACTCCTGCTACACAAAGAGAGTTCAAAACAAATTAAGCTTCTAACCAGAACAACTCCGGAAGCAATTAAGAAAATGGGTGAAATTGAGAAAAACGTAAGACAGCAGCTACTTCCTAGTAATACTGGTAAAAACCATATAACCGATGAAGATCGCAACCTTTTTGCACTACCTTTAAGAATGGGAGGATTAGACCTCCTCAGTAACACGGACTTTTCCAAAAATAATGAGTGGTCACGAGCCATTTGTGATCGGTTAGAAAACAGTGATACAGAAATAGCTGAAAGGGAACAAACTCGTATAAATAGAAACTTCAAAAACTGAGAAACAGAACATCACTTTCTCAAAAAAACCTAAAATTATGGAAAGATGCTTATCAGAGAAAAAACTGACAATAAATTTAGAGAATGAATTAAAATTGTAAATTCAAACAAACGTTTTTGCACATTTTGTGCATCTTCAGGTTTCAAAAATTCTAAACTATCTGTACAAAATGATCAAAGATCATAAAAAGTTTCACACACATCATTACTTCAAAATTTTAAAAATTTACCAATCAAAACTTTACAATTATCACTGAAATTATATAACAACTATTATGTAACATTTTAAAACATTTTGTCACAAATTTCTGAGAGTTTTCTTCATTTTTTTTCACATTTTCGTTTTGTGGCTAATTTTTGTGGTAACATGTAAGTTGTTTCAAAATTTTGTTGTTTTAGCCACCACTTTTGTTTTCAGTTCACTGGAAAAGGAGGATTTTAGAGAGGGCATACAAGTTTTCAATTTCCTCGTCGTGAATATTATCAGCGCATTCGTGATATCGCGCACTTTTTTTGCTAATGTCTGACTGTGATTCCCCCTATATTGGACCATCAAGATGGGTGGTGAATCACTGCTATAATCACAGGGCTTCTTTTTCTCAGCCATGTTCTTTTTGTTTTTGCCCTCGCTGATGATCTTTTCAAGGGCATGGGATGCAACCCGCGACGACCAACTTTCCGGATATTGGTTATCCAACCACTGCTCACGGTTGATTTTCATGGCTTTATCATATTCTTCCCATGTTGACGTACTGCGGAAAACCCGGTGAACAATTCCTTCAATCACACTTCTCTTGTACTGAAGGGGGCGCAGCTTCTAAAATTGAGTATGGTACCTGTATCTGTTGGTTTTTGATACCACCCACAGCTAATTTTCCTGCTTTTGTCAATACTAAATTGTGAATCCAAAAATGCCAAAGTTCTGTTTGTGTTTGGTGTCTCTATTGTGAACTGTAAATTTGGATGTAGTAAGTTTGCAGCCCGTAGCACTTTTTCAGGATCACCCTTCACTGTTCTCACTATATCATCAACGTAACGGAGAAACAATTTAGATTGTTGCCCTGACTTATTTTTTTCCCTTAATGCGATGTATTTTCTGCAGTACCAGACGGTTTCACTTATATTTCGATACTCATCATCTGATATATCACCGCATTTTACGTGATACCAGTTCAGCATTCACATTCTACACCTTTTGACCTGTACGTGACTTTCTTATTGCACTCGGGACATATTCCGTGAAGATCTTTCACGGGCAAAAACATTTCGGGAATATCCCTTGATAATGCAGTTTCGTACTGCTTCAGCCAAAGATTTGCTAAAATAACGGCAAGAGATGCCCCCATTGCCAAACCATCTTTCTGAACGTACCATTTTTCATTGCACTTGAAATGGACTTGACTAACTGCCATGTTCAACAATCTCTTCATGGTTTTCCTAGCAATTGATGGTGGTTCATCTTGCTCATACAGTTTTCTCAGAGCCATGTCTATCGCTTCTTTCAGTGGAACATTTGTGTACAAACTCTTCACATCGAGAGATATCAAGTTTTCATTGGGCTCAAGATTAGTGCTCTCTAAGTTTTCTCTCGCATCTAGTGAGTTGGTTTCGATGTTTGCGCCCTCAATTTTCTCAAAAAATTTAGCAAGAACTTTGTTCAAGTTATAATAAGAGCTACCAGGCAAGGAGAGGACCGGTCTTAATGGGGTATTCACTTTATGCACTTTCGCGATTCCATAAAGCATGGCGGGATGCCCACCAGTAGACCTCATCCTTGTGTAGAGACTCTCACTTATTTCATCTTTTTTCCTCATAGCCAACAACTCCTTATTGATGTCTCTTTCTATCTTCAAAACAACCGCATCACTTGTTCCTTTACTTCTGCTGAATTGATTTGAATCTAATGTATCCGACAACTTGTTCTCGTAGGTGTCCTTTCTCATTACACAAAAACCCACGCCTTTGTCATACGGTACTGAAACTAATCCATTACTCTTCAGATACTTTCGGGCCTTCTCAACGCCTTTGTCAGATGGTGTTTGTTTCACCCTCTTAGCATAGGCTTTGGCCACAGCTTGGATCTCACAAAGGGCCTCCCCGGGGACTTTACGATTTTTGAGATCCGATAGAAAGATGTCAATGTCGGCGAGAAAGTGTGTCTCAATAAATTTATCCCTGACGGGATGCTTTGGCCCTAATGCCAACACTTGTTGTACCCAATTTGGTAATTCAACATCATCAAAAGCTCTTGCCGAACCCTCACCTTGCTTCTCTAGAGGTCGGTCTTGCCTTCCTGATATTTTCATTAGCTTCTTCTGATGGGTCTCTTTGACTGTTGCTGTTTGTCTTTCTCCCCTAAGACTTAAATATTCAATTACCGAAGGACAAAACTTCTCATCTACACCCATCTGTACTGCGCCTCTCGCCCTTTCTACTTTGACTTCAACGTTTTTTTCATCTGTCCTTGCCTTGTTTATCTCCATTCTTAGAAGTTTTGTCTGAAAACTGTGTACCGCTTGGTTCGAAAACAACCCATTTTCCGGTACCCTGAACCTCAAAAAATCAGGTATAATGTCGTTTTCCAGACAAACTCTCAAAAATTTAACACGTTTGTGACAGTTGATAAATTTAACATATATGGACGCATAATCACGGACTAATTTCCAAATGAGTTTGTTTTCCAAAGTCCAAATCAAGAATGGAGGTGGGAGTACAACTGTGCTCATTGGTTTGCAGGCCACGAGGAATAAACCTCACGTGACACAAAGCAACTCAAATAACACAAGTTTAACTCACCCTCTCCGTTGAAGCCTCCTCGTCAGTCCGACCAACAGTTGCTTCGCCTATGTTCACCAGTCTTCTTTTCTCCGCCCTCCTTCTCGATTGAGGTTTCTTTTTCGTGTTTGAACGAAGCTTGGACAAGACAGCTGGCAGGTTGTCTTGGTGTTCGAACACAATCCTCAAAGAATTTAGCTCCAGCTGGACGTCCTGGTGCAGTGCCTGATATTCGTTGACCAGCTCCGTTCTTCTCTTCCTCTTTGAAATGCGACACTTTGTAATAGGAATGACCAGAATACCCGAGCTGATCAGCTGGTTCCTGATATCCGGTGTACCGTTTCTCTGACAGTATACAATTGCGCTGAAATTTGTCAGTGTCTTCAGGATTTCTGTCAATTCCTCTGCAGTGCAAGCTCTGAAATTGTTTGTGCGGTGGCTGTTGATAAAATAATTGATGATGTCGTGCCACACCACCACTTGACGTTTTTCTGCTAGAGGTGCCCTGCAGAGTAGGCTTGCGAGGTTCTTCTGTGGGTTCGTGGTGTTCGGGTTTAAAAAAAGTCCCGGAATAGCCAAAATTTTGGGTAGAAATTGTTCTTATTCCGGGTTGCTAAGTTGTTCCAGGCTGTGGTAGAGTGAGCTAGCTGCTACAATGTAGAACATTTCAATTCTAACATGGTAAAATATGAAAAGATTTTTCAACTAAAAAGATTTCTCCACTAAAACAAGGGAAAAATAAATTTAAAATTACGTCTCCTTGTAGGAGAGACTGTAATTGAGAATTGGCTCAACGCCGTAGGGTTTCAAAATTTTACATCTAAATATTTTGAGAATGCGATAAAACTGTAAATTCAAACAAACGTTTTCGCACATTTTGTGCATCTTCAGGTTTTAAAAATTCTAAACTATCTGTACAAAATAATCAAAGATCATAAAAAGTGTCACACACATCATTACTTCAAAATTTTAAAAATTCAACTAATCAAAACTTTACAAATATCACTGAAATTATGTAACAACTATTATGTAACATTTTAAAACATTTTGTCACAAATTTCTGAGAGTTTTCTTCATTTTCTTCGATTCTGGAACTAGAGCCTTAGTGTCAGCTATAGCGTCACAGAAAGGAGCATCGATTTGGCTAAGCGTGGTCCCCCTAAAAAATACAATTTCTCTCTCAACAAATCAGAGTTTAAAGATGGATTACATCTGAGATATGGATGGGAACCTCCAAACACCCCACGTACATGCCCGTGTTGACAACCGTTCACACTGACCCACTCCTTACACTGTCCCGAAGGTGGATACACTCACCTAAGACATAATGAAATTCGCGATATCTTGGCGACATTCCTGGACGAAGTATGCCATGATGTTGAAATAGAGCCGAAATTTCAATCGTTGGAAGGCGAAAGCTTTCACAACAAAATAACCACTACTGAAGATGACGCTCGACTTGAAATCAAGGCAAATGGACTCTGGGGAGTTCGATTCAGCCGAACCTTTTTAATTCTGCCAATTCACTAGATCTGTTTCTGGCTATTAGAGTTCCCATTCGTTCTGATAGGTTGTTAGCATCTCTGAGGCGACGTTGTTTGAAATAGCGAGCTCGCCGTTTAAGAAGTTTTTTTAATAGCGGAGACACATATTGTGGATCTCTGTCTGACATATTCAATTTTATAACCGGGATATTCTTCTATTTTTCTGCAGACTACATTTTCAGTGAATTGAATATACACATTGTCTAGAACTTCTGCCCAATTATTTTCCAGGATTGCTTTCTGGAGTGCTTCTTTGTTTTGACGGCGATGTCCAGAAAATGGTCTGTACGTCTGATAGCAGGGACAATGTGCAATTGTGTTAGTTTGGCAAAAATTGCTTTGTGGTCAGTCTGAACGGTTGAACTAAAAACTTCGACCGAGTAACACCGAGGATGGTGGTCAACTGAGGATGGTTCACGGACAATGGTGGTCAACTGGAATTCTTCTGTGAAAGTTGAGAGATCTAGTCTGTTTGCATAACCTGTGATAACTAAAATGTTTCTAACTTTTTCAGTAATAACCTTGATGTTCTGTGATATGTCCTTTATGATATCTTTGTCTTCGTAATTGTGTACTGGGGGTGATATAATGAGAACACCAGGTAAGTTGTTTGTTGAAACTGACAGTGGAATATTTGATACTCAAATTTGTTGAAACTTGGTTTAATGTGCTGAATAACTTTAACATGATTTTTTGTGATCTGTCTCTGCAGAATTTTATGTATCCCGATATTTCATGAAAAAATGAATCATGCTTGAAATCTTTCAACCATGATTCTGTCACAGCGATTACTGAAGGTGTATATGCAAATGTTTCTAGCCGTAAACAATCAATTGCATTGAATTTAGCAATAGATCGCGTGTTAAAAAAAGAAAAAGCACGTGTACTCTTGCCTGAGTTAGTGAACATGGTGATAGTCAGTCTATTTTGACTAACTTTTTCCCCGCGATACAGTTTCAGATTGCGGATTTGAGAACTTGTCTGTCAACGTTTTCTACATCGAGTAGTTCAAGTCGTTTTTTCAAAACCTTCTGTTCTATTTTCCTGCCACTTTCCGAAAGAGGCGGGGAAATATAGAATTTTTTGTCATAGTCTATCATCAGATACGCTTTTGCTAATATCTTTTGTGGGGCAAATTCTGTTTTGAACCTTACGAGAACTGTTCGTGGCCGTTTTTTGCCTTTGTCAAATCTTCCGAGTGGTTCAATATTGTCGATATGTCCGAGCTTATGGACCTTCATCTAGGCATGTGAGCACATTCGATATAGTCTGGCGGTCATTCTCAATTTGTTCTGTTGCATTAGGGGCACCAAGTTTG